GCCTCACACAGACCTTCCACTGATGAGAGCCTTAGCAACATTAACAAATTGTATGTTGTATGTAATATACATATGTTATTGTTGCTGTTCTTCATTTCTGTCAACCTTGTTGGTATCAACATTTTCTCCAACACAAACTGAAAACCGAGAATCCTTAGGATATGCCATCCTCCCAAAAGGCAAGCCCTTTGTCACTCCAAGCATCCAATGCCACAGCCAACTGACTGCAAAGACACACCAGAGCACTTGGATGAAGCCTGAAGCACAATGTACGCTGTCAGAATTTTACTTTTGTTGTCTTTTGTTCCTACCACCCCCTACAAGGGTAAAAAATAGTGCATAATTTTGTAAACAGTTGGGCAAACAAGGAGAACAAACGCAGAGAAGTACTGGAACATCTACAACATCTGGGTCAAATGTCATTTGTCCAGCCTCCTTGGGAAGAGTTACATCGCTGTTTGATTTACAAGCACATTCGGGCAAACACCAGTGAGTTCACAACATGTGGAAAGATTCTGCAGCATGCGCGGCAGAAAGTTTCTAGCTTCCGTGCACGTCATGGTGATGGTCTGTGTGTTTTCAAAATCGGGGTGACTGCCAACCCAGCAAAACGCTGGGAACTCTATTTGAAAGTCAATTTTACAGCGATGTGGATCATCTTCATGAATGATGACTTAAGTTTAGTGCACATGTTGGAGGCCAGTCTCATAGCTCTGTTCTGTGAGATTAGTGGCTGCCGAAACAAGCCCAACACGGGCGGCGAAGGGGCATTGAACAGACATACTGCCCCAGATCCACCTTTCTTTGTATATGTGGTTGGTGGCCGGGCTGACCAACACAATAGAGTTGGATAGCCACACCACTTTTCGGGAGCTTTACAATAAAATAGAAGGGGGTTAAAAAGTAACGCAATGCTTAGCAACACTTGACTTTAAAACCAACTTTTCAAAGATATTGATCTGCAATTTCGCCAAGGTGCGCTGCAGCACTGAACATGGTCACGAGGACACAGCTTCTTGGCTCTCGAGGGTGGAACCTTTGTCTGATGTTTTGGACCACCCCTGCAACCCTTACCAAGTATGATTCCAGATCGATACATTATATCATATAATTTGGTTGGTGTCATTCATATATATACATATTGCAATACTTCGAATATTGCAATTATTATTCCTCCTATTCTGACCTGAGGCCACTTATGAGCCACATCAAATCGAAGATGAACAGGGAACGACGTGAGCGTGAAAAGGCTGAGACTGAGGAGACTGAAACCCCTCGAAGAAGGGCTATCAAAACCGAACCAGGTTCACGCTCTCGTAGATGAGTACCAACACTGTGCAGGGACATGATCTGTGCAAATATATACATCAATTAACATCATGGAACGCTCTGAAAATTTCCGCTATTTTTGTTGTAGTATTGTTGTCTTCATCCATAGATCTGTCTCCAGAGTGCAATCTTTTGGGGTTAGCAAGACCTACAGTGGCCTTGCATGGGTGGGTGATAACATCCATCATTCCACTATCCTGCGACCGTGGGATTTCATTTCTGCTACTTGAGCAATGGGTGTTTCCGTTGGATTGGCAGCATGATACCGCTGCAGATGTCCCAATGAAGCGAGAACGACAAAAAAGGTTCAACAATGTTCTCAGGTAGCCACTTTCATTTGTTTGGGTTAGTTATTTCACTTCATGCCAGGTGACTCAAATGCGTCGCGAACTGCTGGGCCTTTGCTGGAGCATGTGGTGGAAACAATTGCGGATGGTGAACCTTGTCAAAACTCAAACATGACGGTTTGGGGCAATGGCATTGAAACTATACATGCAACCTGCAAATTCTTCATATGATGGACCATCATGGACATATTCACCCCAACTATCATAATCACCATTGGGGTTGCCTTCACCTAGGCCCCTGCAAAAAGATTTGCTGAACAAGGGGCTGCTTTGCGATTGGAACTTGGATCTTCAACGTCGATGCTGCATCAGTCTACTAGATCTGTTATCAAAGGATCACTCAAAAACGCTTCCAGACAATACCAAAGGTCTGTGAGACGCTTCAATATGGCTATGAACCCAGGATTATATTTACAACATCTTTATTTTTGCAACCCCTGATTTTTTTGAATGTTTTCGGTGCCCATTGGTGTCCAAAAAAATGTTTATGACACAAATGTGTGGGGTACCAAGGTTGAATGTTACAGGTTGTTTTGTATTGGGGTGTCACTACCGGTCACTTTCTGAGGAATTTTCGCCCCACAGTACACGTTCACCAAGAAGGTGCGAATCTTGTCGAGATGCCATACCATCGACCCAGAACCATTCTGGCCACGCTGCTTCACCAAGAGCCCTGGATGCTGCTTGGTGGATTGGACCCAGGGCCGGATGCAGACTCTTTGCTATCTACATTCTGGAAGACATACAAAATTCAACACCCAACTCACAAGATTTTCAGCATGGGCTTGGACATGGCCCGAACGATTCCTATGATGATTCATGGGGATGGAGCAAGGACTGCCAAGAAGCAACCACTTGAGGTTGTTTCACTGATTGCTGTTCTGGGCCTAGATACAAAAGAAGATGTCAATTGTCACTGTCCAAGGCCATTCTGTTATTCCAAAGACTTTTCCATTGATGACCCTATGGTTCAGAAGTTGAACAATCGCCACCACAGCTACCTACATCACTTTCTGATGTTTTGCTTCCCTGGCAAACGATACAAGGCCACGCCAGGCCTCCTGAAATCCATGCTTCGCAGGATCTCGGAGGATCTTTCTGAATGTTGTCAACAAGGTATATATGTCGATGGTGACCCCCGACCATATCATATTGGCATCATTGGTTTGAGAGGGGATGCTGAGTGGCATTCGAAAACTGGAGTGTTGAATCGTTCATACAGAAACGTTGGACATGTGAACCAAATACCTTGTTGCCATCAGTGCGATGCTGGTGCACCTGGTATTCCTTTTGAAAGTTTTCGTTCAGATGCTGAATGGAAGAGTACGATTGGGAGAACTGTTCCATGGTCATTGGAGCCACCCTATGCACCGATTCAGTTTGAGCCTTGGGACAACGGATCGTCGGCGAAGTTTTTCCGCTATGATCCTTTTCATGTTTTTAGACTTGGTATCGCCCGCAACTTTTGCGCAAGTGCCATCGTCTATTTTTGCAATGAGGGTCTTTATGATTTCCCTGGTGATGATCACAGTGTTCCTGGACGGTTGGGTAGGGCATGGGCATCATTTCTTCTATTTTGCGAAACGGATGGCAAAAAGCCAGCTTCAATGAGGAGTTTCTCAAAGGAAAAGCTTCACTACAGCACCACAACAAGCTTTCCGTTTGTGAGCTGCAAAGGCAGTGACACCATCCTACTGCTGCAGTATTTGAAATGGTTCTCTGGACTTCAAATATGTCATGGAAACACATTGGAGGGAGTGCGGCTTGTGAAAAAGGGATCTGAACAAGGTTTGAACTTCCAAGGATTTCATCGCCATGGGCTGTGGCTTAACCCCCAGTGTCGGGATTACATCTGCAAAATGTGCCGGGGCTTTTGTCACACTTACAGTCGCCTAGCAGCTCATGCATATGGCCGGCAGATGACATTGTTTGGGCTTGTGCCTAAGGCACACTCTCTTGGGCACATATATGTGGATCTTGAAAGTTCCCGGGCAAACCAATACACTCTCAATGCCGGTGTGTGGGACACATCAATGAGCGAGGACTTTGTGGGGCAGGTTGGGCGCCAATCCAGGCGAGTTGGCTATAAGAATTTGGTTCACAACACATTGCTTGCCTACCGGATCAGAATGAAATTTGTGATCAAACGGTTCAAGAAGAACAACAGAACGAGGTGACGATGGATTGCCAGCTGCTCTTGAGTTTGACGATGCTTTTGTGGTTGGGAAAAGGTAGTGTGTATGTGAGACACTGGCTGTGGACAAAGACTGGAAACCATATCATGATCCCACTCAAGCATATATGAAATTGTGAAACAATTGTTCACATACTGTGTGTTTATATGTGTTTAGATGGTACTTGCCCAAAAGTGAAAATAGCCAGGGGCAGAAATTTTGCTAAGGGGCTGAAATCAAATTCAGGGGCAGAAATTTTAGCTCAAAACCCAAGGGTCTAAAAAAAGACAAGGCAGGAAGATCAAGGTATATATATATGTGTGTGCGTGCGCATGTGCAGAGCGAGCAAGACAAAGAAGGTGATCTATGCAACAAAAAAAACATGCCTTGTATAGCCCTGCCACCAAGGAGCATGCGACTGGGAATCAAAATCCTGAGGCCTTATCACCAAGCCGATATGGTGCACCTGCTCAGCTCCCAAGGGTGTTGGGTCAATTGTTGGTCGAACAGGTAGGGCTGTAGGCCTTGCAAAGACTGGTGATATAGATGACATAGTGACTGGGCATGACTGGGTCCTAGGGTCCTACGGTAGGCCTTCAAATCTTTTGAGTTTAGACTATGTTTAGCGGAACAGCGTTGAAGACTGAAGGGATCATGCAATCATCAGCATTTAACCAGTAGAATTGGTGGAATAAACTCTGTGCTGGCCTTTCAACGGAACTCCAAAAGGCCCTATTATGGTGCTTTGAGCATGCCGATTTTCGCCCGGGTCCCATGTCTCTGTCAACGATAATCCCCAAATGGAGGTTCTAACTTGGCACTTCTATCAAGCTTGGGAAACTCTTGGAACGAGTGGCGAACGAGTGGCTCCCTATTTCGAGAATATGAATACGAGTACCTCCGAACAGCTCCCTCTTAACCACAGTTCTTTTTCTTTCAAACAATTGGTGGTCTTTCAAGTGCCTAGCCAGCCAGTTTACCAGCCCGCCTTCATGCACAAACAGCACCGGATGAAACAGTTCAAGGGATCTCGGCAACATCGGGGCAATGGGAAAAGTAAATCAGCATCAAATTACTTCTCCAATCTTCTCCATCTATTTCTGCTATTTCTGGATACTGTTTGGTTTATCACACTGATAAGCAATTCCTATCAATTCCTATATCGGATCTGATAGAGTGCCGTGAGCTCTGTGAACTCACCGCCCTGCCCCCGGAGGCTGTGAAACCAATGAAAAACTGTAACGAAATCTATGCGCCCTCCAGTAAACACACACACACACATATATATATATATATATATATGCATTATAAATTACAGTATATATTATATATAAATATATTAAGAAATCATATGTTATGTATATTATAGATGGAAAAAACAAATGAAAAGAGATCATTATCATCATTTGCAACTGATTTCCATTGATTTCCTAGGAAACCTGTGAATTTCCAAAGCTTTTGTATATGGAGTATTTTCACAGGGCGAAATGTGAAGAGCCCCAGCCAGAACAGCCTTCCGACGCCAAGAATCTTAAAGGCTCGCTGCTGAGCATCAAATCTCCCGTCTTCAGATCCAGCAATGGCAGTGGCCCATCGTTCCGAAGCGCGTCTAGCGCCATGGCAGCAAGGCTAAGCTTTGGAATCGCGTGCGAAAGAATGTGTGGAACTTATTTAGAACATGGACTTACTTTCGATGTGCAAAGATGGCTTTGATCTTTGGATATCTTTGAATGAGGGTGGATATGCGACATGTTGTTAGGCTGTTTTTTCTCAGTATTTTGACTTACTTTTGTGGTGGAAACATTGGACGTATCATGAAACTTGAATACTCACGGAAAATCCGACTGCAAGTGCTGCAAAAAGCCCTGGGGTCAATATCTGACATCAACTCGCAAAACTAGGTCAGAAGTTGGTCAACATCTGCCAGCCCATCAAACCCCCCAAGTCTGCCGCCATGGAGGCTCCAATTTGGTGAAGTTGGTGAGCCACCGGGCCTGTCTGATTTACACGAAATGTTCCCCGAAAAACCACTTCTTGGAATGGTGAAGTGCTGGTGATCTGGGTGGCATGGTATAGGCAAATCCCAGGCCGGCGAAACCAGTAGCTAATGCTTCGTGTAAATATCTGTTACCATACTCAAATCACAATTATATAAATCACATTAAATCACGGTGAATGGCAGCTACTCCTGCTCCTGCTCTAGCCCTTGAATTCCAAAGTCTTCTGGAATCACACCTTGCTCTATACCCTCAACACTTACCTGGATGGAAATTCCATTGATGTCGGCGTGGTTTCCCATCCAACCAGCACCTCCACAGTAGAGTCCAGCAAAAGCTCCACCTATGCTCGAGCTGTCCAGAAACAGGTGACATTGAGAAGATCGCTCAACTACATGACAATTTGGAATAGAATTCAAACAATATATATATATATACAGTATATACATAGGTTTTTACCGCATGTAAATAGATAGATATAGATATATATATATATATATAAATTCGTAATATATATAATATATATACATTGTATATTATATATAGAGTATATACAGTGTACATGTAAGATGATGATGTCCTAGATTTGCTTCGCTACTGTCAGGTTTTGTCGGTAGATGTCATTTTTTAGATGTAATGCCAAATGTAATGACCTGGTTTTGCTGCCAAATGTAATGACAAATTGTTGCTGCCAAATGTAATGACCTGGTTTTAAGTTCAGTCAAACAATCAGGCCGCTGCTTCCCATATCCCAGATACAAGGGGGGAAGATTGGCTGAGTACAGAGGTAAAATTACACTTTCTCCAACTATGGTCTGGAGCAATCATTACGCTTGAAATTGTCCATCAACATATTACAAACAATATATAGGCCTTTAAATTTCCAGAATTGTTGGGCCCAAAAAGTAAGAGTCAAATCATGTCCAATAGAAAACGCTATAGATATATATATATATACATGTATAATGATTTAACAAAACAATAATGTGGTAAACCCAATGAAGCCAAGTCATCACCATTTTCATGGGTGGGGTTTAAAAAAAAACATCCCGAGTCATGGTAGTTCTTTCTGGCAGCCAGGGTTTCCCACGTTTCACTAATCATTGATCCAAATAGGACTTGTTCCATGAAAAAAAACATCATTGATCTTAGTAATATAAATGAACAATCAACAAGTATACATCTTTATATCCATCAAATTTCACCAAATAAACATTATATATATATATATAGATAGATATACATATAACAATAGTAATTTCCAGGGATTTCTCCATGTTTTTCCACGAAAAAAAACAAAAACCGTCAAAGCCGCGGCACCTCCACCAGCTGCTGGACCAGGTCCGTGGGATCCACCAATGGCTCGGCCCAATCCGACTCCTGAGCCAAGCCGGATCTGGATCTGGGTTAGTTCACTGGATTGGTTTTCTTGGGGAAAATTTGAACCGGAAACCCATGGGTGTTTTGACCATCAAATTGATCAAGCGCCCAAGGTGACCAGGAACATGGTTATAAGGGATGTGGACATCCCTGATCGGGCTTTCCGGTTTCAATTTTCCCATCATCCAATTCTATGATTAGTAGATGGGCAGTTTATCCCGTTGTAATCCCATGATATATTTACAGTGTTAGTGACATAGCTAAACAAAAAGAGTTACCAATTATTTTTAGTGCAGGATTTAAAAAGAAAAAACATCCACAGTATCATGGGAAAATACATCTGATACAAAAGTTAGACACTTAAATTTGTATATATATATATAATTACATATATATAGTTAGGGGGGATGAGTAACTATTATCGAAACGCGAAGCCGAAGCACTTTCGTAGGGCGCACCCCCCAAGCTGGAATCAACATGATCGATTTGACTACGGAATTCATTTTTTCTGGATTCCTTGAGAAGTCATTGAGGAATGAAATCAAATAGTTGGCTGTTCAATGCATGATTTGTTGCTAACGTTGGAGAGTTTCCAGCGATCAGCCAATGGGATCAATATTCAGATCACATTTGAATCAGCCACAGCTATCTAAACATGATGAATCCATTCACCATTTGCAACAAATCCATGATTTTCTCACAAATAGAGTCATTTCTGGAGGAATCCGCCCATGCAAATCCCCCTAAATTTTCTCGGCTCCGGCCTTTTCTCCATTTCCCTTGCGCGCTGTCTGGCTCTTCCGGGCCGAAACGTGCATGAGGAGTAAGATGCCTGCGGCCTGTCGACGTTTTCAACAACTCTTCAGTGGCCAGGCATCGAGCATCGGGGGGCTTTGTTACCGTGACGGTTGACCTTAGGAATCAATAGGAATCATACACACATATATATATACATACATGAATATACATGTATATCTGTATGTATGACGAATCAAAACACATTCTTATCTATACATGTTCCTTGTCTTTATTCATCAGTGTTGTTGGTCTTGTATGTGTTTGTATGATTTTGCTCCCCAAAAAAACCCAGCAATCTCAGGAAATTCAGAAAAACTTCGCCTGCGGAAAGATCTTGTTGGCATTGTCCGGGTGAAAGCCATTGAACACCTTGACCTGGAAAGATCCCACCATAAAATGGTGGCAATTTTGACGAGAAAAATTATGGAAAGTCTGCACCCTTTGGTGATTTGACATAGTGACATACAAAATGGCCCATGTCTAGCTGATGGTGCTGGCTCAAATGCTGATTTTCCATAGCTGACTGTCAAATTACCAAAGGGTATCCCAATAAATATCTCCACAATTTTGATTGTGAAATCCCAGAAATATCCCATTCATACGCCTGATGGTATATCTATAGTTCATGGCAGCCAACCCATGTGGCGATTGTGAAAGGGCTAAAAATTCAGCCCTGAGAATTGGGAGATATCAAGGGATATTATACACATATAGATATAATATATATATATATATATTTAATATCTTTCAAATTATATATATATATATATTCACGTATCTGAACTTGAGTTGGAAATTTGCAGCAAAGGAAAGGTTCACTCTTCGGCGCTTTGGAGACGACATCTGAGCTGAGGATGGTTTGGAAAGGGGTTCCCATTCAGACTGTAGGTCCTGTACGTGACATCGGCAAAAAAGTGAGCCTAATACATCAACAAACCCCACTACATACCAAGTGTGATTCGAAGTGGTTCAAAGTTCAAATCTCAAGGAATTACCCTCTGGATCCCTCTGGTTGAAAATGGCCATTTATAGTGAGGTTTCCCATTAAAAATTGTGATTTCCCATAGCTATGTTAGTTTGCCAGAGGGTAATCTGCAATGCTGGTCTTGGCAATGACTCAGCTGTTTCCTGTGAATCAAAACCCGTCACAACAGTTATTCATGTCCGCATCCGATGCCATCCGGTTCGGGGAAACTTGCCGTATGTGCTGATCCTTGTTGGTCGCCAAACACGTATATATATATATATATGTGTGTGTGTGTGTGAATATACTTGCACATATTCACATAATTTTACATAAACTGTGAGTTTCAAGATATCCTGCTTACATCTATTGAGTTGCCTCAACATATCAAAATCTGGACCCTCAGAATCCATCAAATCCAATGAATTTAGTTGTTTATTCCACAATGGCCATGGGGCAACACGGCCATGGGGCACGAGACAAAGCTCGGCTACCCTGCCAAGCGAAGCTTCGCCGGAAGTCCCAGGGGTGCGCGTCCTGAAGTGACTGGCTGGTGAGGATTGAGTGTTTAGCTGGATCCTGTAACTGTGGCTACAAATCATCAAATCAGTGATATTCCACTGGGCTTTAGCCTCAACAGCACTACTTAATACAATAATTTATATAAGTTCAATAAAATCGGCGCGGTAGGTCAATCATCAGTCATCTACAAATGCGGCATTGTCCTGCCAGCCATAGAAATGACGACATATACACAACATACACACAACCAAAATCATCTAACATCTGTGGTTCTCGCATGTTACTTCCCGTGGCTTTCGGCACGATTCGGCACGGCATGTATCTTCAGAAAGCCAAGCCCTCTCAGTGCTGCACGCTGCACATGCAACTCCGCACGGGAAAACAGGGACAACTCTGAAGGGGCCTCAGATCGATCCAGGGAGGTGTGGGATGGGGCGATGATCCACCAGGAGTTTTGGGCGGCCTAGGGTATACCGGTATAATTACCCATAAAATAGCACAAAATGGCCATTTAAAAGGGAAACTGATGATGAACTCGTGGATTTAGGGGTGTCTAGTATTGTCTAGTTGTTTTTCGCGCGCAAAACCATATGAAATGCATTGAAAGGCATAGTGAAAGGTGTGCTTTTCTGAAATTGATCAGGGAAATCCGGAAAAAAATATGGGTAATAAATGGTAACAAGAGATGGCCCATGATGGCCCCGACCGTTTCACCATGTTTCACCTGGAGAGTCTCGACCGCGGCCTTGGGCGCTCGAACGGACGCCTCATCTTCTGGCAGGAAGAAGTCTTCCTGGAGCCGACAGCAGCTACAGCTGTTATAGGTTGTCATAGTTAGAGCAAAAAGTCATTCAGCTTCAGAAACTGTTAGCGGTTGAACATCCATTTCATGGAACGTCTAAGTCTAAGCAGTCTAACTGTTCTCTAAGAGCCTATAGTGGCACTCTACATTGACTACGAGCTGGGATTCCACAGTAGGTCAGCGTTGGGTAGGTGGACCGTCTACCAGAAACAGGGCCAAAGTCGAATTCGTCTGACTACCCGCTGGTAATATAATATAGCCGTGGAGAATTATATATATATATGAAAAAACATATTTATCATGATTTATCTATTGAACCAATTTAAGGTATGATTTTCCCTTAAACTATGATAGTTCTCCAACCCGTCTCCAATGTCAACTAGGATCATCACGGGGCGGCAAATAGAATGTACCTCCGGACCCTCTGGTCATCCAATGTGGCTGGAAAACGCCTAGAAATGAAGGTTTTTTTCCATAGAACACCATCTATAAATGGTGGATTCTCCAGGTTTGATTACCGGAGGGTAGACACGGTTGATCTTGGAGCCACTTGGAGGTTTCTGAAATGGGGGGTACCTCCAAATCATCTATTTTAATAGGATGTTCCATTATAAACTATCCCCATTTTAAAATTATAAAAAAATGGGGGTTTCATCTATTTTATAAACTATCCAGCTATTCAATTATCCCCATTTTTGGAAACCCCCATTTGGAGCCCAAGGTTCTTCGTCGTCGGGCTCTATCTCTTCGACATCTGCCGTCTGATCAACCTCCTCTTCCTCTTCATCTTCGTCCTGACAGGGTAAATTGTCCAGCCTCTTAGCTGAAATTGAACCAAAATGATCCAACAAAAAGGACAGACACCGCTATTTTTAAACTGTTCATGAGATCTTTCAAGTAGAAGTAGAATAGTGTTTTTTTTTGTTTTTTGGTCCAGAAGAACAATGTATACACATATGTTATATATTGAAATAAATAATATCTATATATATATATAATATATTATATATGTGTGTGATATTCAAACGGGATGTGATAAAATTGAAATTGGGTTTGTCTGAATATAGGGCTACAGTACCTCCGAATCCAATGTCCACGTAGTTATGATGGGATGTGCGGCTAATCATCTTGTTCCCTAGTATTCAATGGCCATGCGGCATCTCCTTGTCCGACAAACTATCCCAATATATCACCATTGATACAATACATTCCTACAAATGTGTGGTTTGTTGTTTTATACCATGTCTTAATCTATAGATCCGCAACTCGGTATACAACCCCAAACGCATCATCTCAAATTGGTTAGATGTTTGATGGTACATTACACTAACTTATTAGATTGGTTTCCCGATAAAACAAAACCAATTAATTAACCATGGCATATATTCCCGAACGTATCATGTCTAGATTCTTGCCTTGCTATGCCTATCCGACATCTTATATCAAGTTGCTCAAGTACTCCAAGATTTGATGATTTGATAAATCAGGGGATGTGGGATATTTATGAGATGGTATGTAAACATGTCATATTCCAAACATATCAATATCAAAATTCTTGACACACAATCCCCATGACAAACTTTGCTTCGATCCCCATCGATGCTGAGACCTGAGACGCCCTTGACTCGCCTCCCGATTTTCCGAGACCTCTTCCAGGTCCATGACCTCCTTGGACTTTGCGGGGATGTCATCCTGCCAGGGATACCATGGCGCCATCAGAGGGACAGTCTGAGGGCCCTGGCCCTGAAGCTGAGGGTCACCCAATCATTGGATCGTATGGCCAGTAGGCCACCCTTGAACTGTCAGGACACATTTATTATAACATCGACACTGGCACTCTCTCCGTTTGGATCCATTGTGGCATCCAAGACGTCTTAGCTTGACTTTGTCTGAAGATAGGGCACCCCCAAATTCTTAAATCCGTTGGTTGATCATCACATCACATCACCATTAAATCCCAATTGATCGCCATTAAATCAGCATTAAACCACCATTAAATCACAATTTACCATCATATCTCCTATATCCCCTCTAGAACATGCCGTCTACACTTGACCTCTTCCGCATCTTCCGTCAGCACTTCGTATGCCGCCAGTAGAGATTCCACATTTTTGCCTCGGCTTCGCCACCGTTTATCTGCCAGGCTTCGCCAACAGTCAGTAAGGCCCGAAATGGCCCGAAAACCCTGAGTAATGAACCATAAATACCGTATGAATCTCATATGACTCATATTGTTGTTCTTGTTTTTTTTGAAATGGTGTCTTTCATGTGTTGAAAACACTTGATCCGAATATTTGTTTGTATACTTAGATCTGGTTCTGAAATAGACATGATTTTGAAATGCGTTTGACAATCGGGTTTTAACCATAATGACTCAACTCCATGACCCATCAGGTTGTGTGTGTGTGCACCTCTCCGGTCCTTGCAGCTTGAGGAGCCCCACAAACAATTTCAGTCCTCAACATGTTGACCTAAGCCAGCGAGGGTCACGGCACTCGGGGCTTGAACAACTCAACCCTGAAGAATTTTAAAGTGATGTTGGATCATCAGCCCATTCTGTTTTTGGAAAAAACAACTATAGGATTTAGGGGAAATCACCAAGCAGACACTGGTTTTTCCTGGTGGAAAAACCACCTGTTTCCAACTTCCTTGGGATTCTCAAACCCTGGCCATAAACCGACCATGACTGGGGATGGCTTGCACCAATAAAATGGTGATCTTGGTGATGAATGGCTTGACCACATTAACCCGTTCTGGCCCTAGGCTTCCATGCTGGACCTGCAGGTAGTGGCTCTTCACCAGGAGCCACACTCACACGTTGGGACCTAGGCCACCCATGCGGTATCTGATGAAGCACGTGTATAAATGGCTACCCTCTCATGAACAAGCGGCAGTGGAAAACCAACATTTCGACCAAGAAAATGGTTTCTAGATGGATAGAGACCTTGACATACCTTGACCTTAAGTGGTGCATTTCAGCTGCAGGGAGGATAGGCTTCCCGGCGGCGCACCCGCAGGGCCCTTGGACCACTCCAAACGGAGCACCTGTGAAGTCTGCAGGGGTGACTATGACGACATCCGATGAATCAACTTCAAATAATGATTTGAGTTGAACAAAGGATACCTACATCGAACAACTCTGAACCTGACAAACAACTCCTCATCATAATCAACATAATGAAAAATCATCATTGCCATCATCATATTCATCTTCCTCATATTCCTCATCGTCCTCATTGTCTTCATCAAAATAATCATAATCAAAATCATAATCATCATTATCATCATCATCATCATCATCCTTATCCTGCACTTCCATCTCCGCTAGTAACAGCCTCCGCCAACGGAACGAGATGTGGCCCGTAGATCGCGAACTGCGGCACGGGCTTCTCCTCCTCTTCCTCTGGATCTTCATCCTGAAGCTGGGCCCTTGGGATGCTGGACCCGTGGGGACGCATTAACAGGGCATCAGAGGATAGTTCCATCAAATCATCACTGGGGATCAACGCCTAAACCGTAAGTGCCCAGGAATGGGACCTGACCAACCTGACCAACCAATTTCTATGGGGTTTATCTCGAAATGAAGATTTAATCACCCAACATGGGGGATTTAAGTGATTCTTCAACGATCAAACGTTTGATTTCTATCTACCCTCTGGTAAAATAACATAACTATGGGAAATCACAATGTTTGCCTATACATGGCAGACTAAGCTGTTGTCGAACTGCCCGGCCTCCAAATCGCTGAGGTCGTCCTCATCCTCTTCCTCAGACTCTTCCTCCTCTTCCTCAGGGTCACGACTGCCGCGAGGCGACAAAATGGTCAAACATATTTGCCCCAATAAATAGTTGATGGCAACTATAGTTATATAATAATTATAACTATATATGGAGAGAGAAAATGAGTTCTATACCATGTTTCTGCCAAATAATAGAAACATATGGCTACCCCAACTATTCCAAGGGCGCGCCTCCACCGGGAATTTGGCGCGAATCAGGCGCTTGCGCAGTGCGATCTCCTAGTGGTTGAATGATTTGGTTAAGAGCCTTAAGGGTAAACCCTGAAAGCCTGGTGAACATGAAAATATAGCTGGCAAAGAGATGTTTATCTTTCTTATTTAACCCCTCTTATATCAAAATGATAGGTTCTGATCCATCCACATTTGGTAGTACTTGAAAACCACCAGCCAGCCAAGGTGGCAAACTGGCGAACCAATTTCATCTCTGCTCCCCAGGATTTCTTCTAGTTTTCGATCCATTTGCATCGAGTGTATCCCAAGTAGTGCTTCAACATGTCGTTGAAACATCATGAAGTCATGATCATACAAAGTGGCGCCCCAGTTACAAGATGTTACAAGTGGGCTTTTTGTGTCCCCCAACTCTTCAAAAAAATGGAGGTTTCCTGAAATAGTAGCCCCAAATCATCCATTTTCATAGGATCTTCCATGAGTTCAACCAATATCAACCATCCAAGCGAGCTTGGGGTAGCCCCAATGGGATTGCGCGGCGCAGCCCTCCAGTCAGATCGTGGGATCCCGGGATCCCGCACCAGGCTGGGTCTCAGCTGCCTTGCTCGACCCCAGAGGAGCAAGCCGTAGCTGGCCATCCAAAAGGCCGGCGCGAAATTCCTGGAGCTAGGTGGGCAACGTTTTTAAAGGCAAAGAAATGGGTGAACTGGGAGAGTTTCTGAAGGCTTTCTGAGGTGAAATTCGTAACTATTGACAGACTATTGAGTTTAAACTATGCAGAGTTTATGGTGATGGGATAACCTAGGAGTTCATTAATGTGTTCATGGCTTAAACCAATTGACTTTAACTGCTGGATTATCCTTGAAAGAGATGGTCATGAATCCCAAGTTTTGGAACTAGAGTTGTTTGTTCATGAGCTGAAGGTCCATAGGTTGGACGCCTTCTGTGAATCCTCTCCAAAATCTGAGGGGATTGACACACATATAGATGCCCTGATGATTCACAAGCCCCTGGTTGGTTTTGATGATTTTTGATGCGAAGGTTCATGAATCATCCAATACCTGTTCATAATCAAAAAACCAAAACAACAAGCACCTACTAGTAAATGTGATCCCAAAGTTCACACATCTACCAATAAACGTGGGGGGTTTGAATGGGTGGTAAGCAAGGGACTGGGATTTCAGAACGGCGTTAAACATGCATAATTTATGTCAAGCCTGGATTAAGATACCACTGGCGGATTTTGTTGGAAGGCACTAATGATCACTAATGAACACAAGCACTCTTGGGGGGGAGTCATCCGAGTTTATCGGCCAGGACTTATACTGTGAGATTGACTTGTCAGAACCTGGGCAGTAGATCTACGAGTCTTTTGAATATCTAGCTTCGAAAACAACAAATAAACTCACTTTGGAAACTCAAATCTGCTTTTAGCAAAGCAACCACATCACACCAAACCAACCCATGCTTGAGTGGAATTATTGACCCTTCCAGGACGGATTTCCAGTTGAAAATATGACATAATTCCGGTATTTGGTTGGCCCTTATTAGTTCATGACACTTTAGGACCATGATTTTGATAGATTTCGATCAACATCACGAATTTGATTGGATTGTAGTTTAAAAAAACTAGACCCCAAATGAGCAGTGTTCAAACTCCCTGTCCTTTTCCCATTTGTTGTTGGTTAAATGGTCAAATACCCAACAAACCGCAGTTTTGTCTAACAATCCCCTAGCCTGATGGACCATGGGAAAAACGCGATTCCAGGTGATCCGGGCGTAACTGGGTGATGTATAAGCCACGTACTGTCCCCAAGTAAGTACAACTCATTTCTAACTATAGTTAAGTCAACTCACAAACCATGGCCCATGCAAGGATGGTTTCTAGTAAGCCCCCTAAGTGGCTTACCCCATGTATATACATATATCATATATATATATATAAAACTAAAAAAGTTGGGTTACCCTCTGGTAATTTAACATAGCTATTGAACATGGCCATGGATAGTTCGTTGATTCACCATGATTCACCCATTCAAAATGGTGGAACATCAGGTTTTTCCATGGATCCACCTTGGCTGCGTGCGGCTGATGGAGGCCGCCATTGCCAAGAAATCCTACGGCAATCCCATCCCACGAATCCGAAGTAGTTAACCTATCCCTGGTCAGAAGTGGAATAAGCATGGTTAATCCACTTATAACTAGCGTTATAACCTACTTATAGTAAGTGGAATAAAGCACCACGTACCATGAAATCTGATAATTGATAGTTTAATTTGTTAATGATCATATTTGTCAGCCTAGATTACATAAACCAAAGTAGAGTATAGTATACGATGGCAATATTATTAAACCTGCTTGATTATTGATTATCAAAGCAAATCGTTTAAACATAAATAAACATAAACCTACTAATTGGCAATATAACATCCATCTATATTGGTAATTACTTTTTACCAATCATTGTCAATACAATTGGTGTTGTGGTAAGTTTCTGATGAATGGCAATACCAATGGTCACATGGTAATAAAAACATCTCCAAGTCATCGCCGGGTTGTCATTGGGTTGTATAATCTGGCGAAAAAAAAACAATGGATATTAGCCAGTTACCCTCTGGTAATTGAACATAACTATGGACAACCACCATTTATAGTGAATTTTCCCATGAAAAATGGTGATTTTCCATACACATATTAGTATATGTTAGTTTACCAGAGGGTACCAACTGGAATGCACATCCAGTTGAATACTGCTGAAAGTGACTCGTGAGAAGGGTCACGAGTACGCGGTGATGAGCAAAAGATGTTGTTGTTTAGGATGCTTTAGATAGTTCGATGTTTTTGCATCATTCTAAGCGTCAAACTGTTCGCACATAGCATGGTGGGAAGATTATTTCAAAAAGTGCAAGGTGCCCAAAACGTGAGTTTTAGCTCATCCGGTGGTGCGGCGGTTTCCAAAACCACATTCTAAGTTCCGCTTGTGGCATATACATTGTTTTTGCGTTACGGTATATGTAGTTCACCAGACCTCTCGAGTAAGGGTTTCTGTATGGACCTTTAGGTCCTTTCTCATGTCAACCCTGGAGCAATAGACACTGCTGACTATGTAATTGGCAAACCCCTCAAAATAGAGACTAATTATGACTAATTACTAATTACTATTAACATGTGTGCTCACGCTAGTGGTAATACAAATGCAATTAAATGTATATATATATACATATTATGTATATATATATGATTATATATGTGGTGATTGACTTGCCTGATTGTTTAGCATGTATTTACATAAATGAACAGATAATCGTATCAACATACAGAAAAAAATAAGGAAGAGGTCCATTGACAGCATTGAAGGAAACACATTAAAATCATTTAAACAGGTAGCTACACACATATCAAATCAATGGTTCATTCTAATGGTATTTATTTGTAGATAGCTTAGCTAGGAACCCCCTCCTTGGCACAGCCGATGGCACCACAGAGCCGCAGCTGCACATAGGCCTGGCGGTTTCCCAGTTCGGAAAATGTCAAATGTGGTTAAAACAATAATAAACCATCCTCCAACTCACAATAAATAGGTGGCATAAACCATTTCCAAATGGGTGGTTTAGTATTGTTTTACCCACATTACAAATTTGCTGGGTAAAACACCGCATCGGACTGTTAGTTTAAGAGAGAACCAAGCAAGTAGGGGCAATCTCTTTGGATTTTAGCAGACAAACACAAACTTGAACATGAGGACTTTATACCAAAATCTGTGCGACACAAAACCGTGCTTCAAAAAAACAGGTATGTCAATCAGCAAAAAGAACATGTGTTTATAATTAGGTGTTTTTGGCAGGTTCATCAAAATATGAAGATTTCAGCCATCTAACAAGCCAAATTAATCCAAACCATGTTTTTCCCCTTTGATTTCTTAATGTGTCTATTTCGAACGAAACCTGGTCTACCATCAAATCGTGTTTCACCGTGCAATGGGGACTGGGGAATCATCTAGAAATGGCAAAAAGGAAGCAGCAAAAAATGTGTCCAACCAAACAACCGAATTATCAATTCTTACAGGTCAACCACACGCACATACATACATAAGCTATGCATGTCTTACATATAGTGTAGAATTTTCAACAACATTAAATGGGGTTTGAATCAACAAACATGTGGAGTTGAACCAACCAATATTTAGTGGCATTGTTGGCTATAGATCACATTCTATTGGATTATTATTATTAGTCCATTTTTCATGTTGCAAGCAAGAACAACTTCATCAACTGGGGCCCTTGGAGATGATCGATTTTTCAGTGCCGCAACGGCATCACATATATTTTGATCATCATCGTCATTATTATCATCATCATTGTTGCTGAATTATGGGCTTTCGGAGTTCGAGCTATTGAATCTCAAGTATCACATGGGGTCCATCAGCCTTTTTCGTTGTCTAAAAATCTGCTTCTCATTTCTGGCACCACTTTCCCAAGGCCTGTGTGGATTGCCTGGCCGATGGAACCCCGAAAATGGACGATCAAACGGGAAATTCACATGAACGAAAACCGGTTGTAATAAAATCCTCAAGTGTGCTGGGCTCGAGCTGGAAAGCCAGAACAACAAATGACTGGTTGAAAAATGCAGGTCCAAGCTAGAAGATCCACAAAAATCACTTCCACTCTTCTGTGGGAGTTCTCTTCAGATTTCAACTTCCAACGCTCCCCAGCAGGCGAATTACCCCCTGGACTCCATGGTTTTACATCGGCAAACGCTTATAATTAGTGGCATTCATCCCGCGCGAAACGTGCAGAAAAATCCAAGGTCTTGACCCATCCCACCAAATATCGCCAGCGGGGTTGGAATTTCCATTGTTTATCGTTCCTTACTCAGAGTAGTCCATCATGTTTTTTCAAAAACCATCCCTGCGGTACGTTTTTTTTCATTCAACCAATGCCCCCCAGTCAGCAGACCCTCTCCCCAATACTACCAGCAACAACCAGTTTGTCTGGGCAATCTAAACCACCGCCCAACATTAGCCTATTCTTGATTAAGACCAGCCATTATTAAACAATAATCTATCCCCCAAATGTTAAACACCCTCTTTTCTGGTACCAAATAAGTGTAAATCCAGTACTAAACCATGATTTCTTGAGGCTGTTTAAACATAAGGAAGGGACTACACCCAGCCTGCGCTTGAACCACCGGATCTCGTCTTCGGGCAACAGCTCTGCCTGAAACAGCCAGGTACTGATCTGTACAGATATTATATGAATATATATGTATAGAAAATATATCTATACAAATACATATAAATATAAATACAAAAAATATGGGTGGCGGACAAATTACTTACTACTCGCCATGGACATGGCCAAAGTGGGTGGTTCCCTAGCGGTTGTGGAGGTTTTAACACAAATTTGAATATCCCAAGGCCACTCCTTTCTACTTTAGTCCTCCACTAATTTTGTCAGTTATTCATGAGATAGAATATATAGATAATTCAAAATATATATGTGATTATAAAGGCAATAACGTATACATATATTTAAAAATAGATAAATAAAATATATAAATGTGACGATGTGTGTACAATAAACATTGCCCTTGTGTTACCTCTAAACTGTACCGACAAACAAGCATATAATTATACGCAGTTTGAAATGTGTTTCCAAACAGAAGCAACTAGTCAGATGTGGCAGCATGTCACAAGTCAAGATATGGCAAGTAGGGACGTTCCGTTGTTCCTTTTCGAAGTAATGTTGCTTGCTTGTTAAATTGACAACAATACTACATGTATTTGCAAATGTACCATAGATAATTGCTAACACTTCAGGTTTTCAAACAATCATGTGTTTCTCTTTTGTAGTGAGAAAACACTCGAATGTAAAGGTGCCATTCTGGCAACCTCCAGAATGTCACCTGGCGATGAGAACCTCCAATGAGGTTGTCCATTGCCAGGTTTGATGGCAAAACCATTGCCAACCTTTGATACCCGGCAAGGAAGCAAAACATACACCAGCTCGTTGGTACAGTAGATACAGCCATTTACAACCAAACATATGCAAAAACGATCTATAGACACCAAGTCAATTATCTACAAATTGTCATGTTCCATGGTTAGATTCAGTTACCAAAAGGGTGGAGTAAGCCATCAGGTGGTATAAAATGGTATAAACACTAGTAAACCATCCCATTAACCATTTGGGGTCATTTTACATCATCCCATATATTGGTATACCCAATATTAAACCCCTCGTGGGGATTGTAATAAAACCCTCAATCAAACATACGGCAAGCTGGGAAATCCACAAACTAAATGGATGTTTATAGGGAAAATCACCCCAAGAATGTTGATGAAACCGGAGGGTATGTATCTATCTATCTATCTATCTTTCTATCTTTCTGTCTATCTGTCTATCTACCTCGCTATAAATACAAACTGGTATGGGCTTTAAATCGTCCCAAAAATTGGGTTTTCCCAAGGTTAAACCTCTAGTACTGGCGCGCTGCGGCCTGGTCCTGCGGAGCATCCTTGGGTTCAAAGGCGGAACGCCGAATGCCCTGCGACCTACATGTGCGAAGAGTCTAGGAGGATTGTGGTGAACATTAGCGTTACCTCCAGGAACATTGAAAATTGAAAGTAAAGTAAATCATGAAAATCTTTATTGATTTTGCCAAAAACAACATGAACATTCATGTATCTATCTTTTCTTTGGGGGATAACCATAAACTTGCGAAAGGTCCTAAGATAGTTCCTAGGTAGTTGCAGTAGTTCAAACAAACCATCCTCCCAGTTTGACCCCGGGCATCATCAGTTTTGGAGAAAAGCAGTCCTCCAAGCCATTATTTGGATTATTTGGCAGGGTCTATGTTGATAGTGATGCGGCTACCAAATTGTGGGAATTATGTAGGTAATTATTTGGAGGCTCGGCCTTCAACCCAAACCATTATATCATTATATTGATCTTGATGACCCCAATATCCCAATGCAGCAATGAAGTTCTTTTGTTTACCCTCTTGGAACGTACTGTAAATATGATACCCAAGTGACTTATTGGAGTTTCAGCTCTGATATTGTTCACTGAAATGTCACGTTGACCCAGGATTTACCTATAAAAGGAGGCTGGCATTACCCCATGAAAAATCTCTCTATTAGGGTCCCCTCAGCAATTGCGGGATTGAATCCGCCGATGCACTCGTTTGCGAGCCAGGCATGCTTCATCATTTTTCATCAAAGGAAATCATCTTTAAAAACGACTGCATTCAACACATATTAGAACTAGCCTAGTTGAACTAGCCATCTGGTTAAACAAGCCATCGGCATGGAACATTTGCATGAGACCGATGAGCTTCCATAGGAAAAATGATCTACAACGGGTGGGACCCACCTATTGCTTTGTTTATTTACTGTACTCGAAGTTAAAAACAACTACAAGCGACATGTATTTACATGTGCCATCTGGTAATTTAGCATAGCAACGGAAATTGGTCCATGTGTAGATGATTTACCTATTGTATCTCTGGCGATTTTACATAGCAAACTGTTACACTACCACATGATTGCGAGTAAAATAGCCACCATATTATATTAGATGGTTGAAACGCAATGTTTGTAAGGCTACTATTGATATATCAAGGCTGTATTTTGGCTACTATATGTTTGAGTAGCCACTTTATATATATATATATATACCTAAGGCTACCCATTGATTCCTACCCATTGATTACCCATTGGATTACTACCCATTATATATATATATATGTGTGTGAGTGTGTGTGTGCGTTTTAGCCACTATATATTATTATTACCCATTATATAATTACCTAACGCTGCTTTGTCCAGCAGTGACACCACCCCTGGGGCTCCACGACTCATTCGCTTGCCATCGCACTTCCTCTGCCGACTGCGTCAACCACACCAGATCTGCGGCAGGGAATGGCATGGTCAATTTAACACTCCCCACACTTGACATATATATTTACATGTCAAAAACGGACTCCCATCTGTATAATATACGTTTCATGGAATTGCATTTATATATTTATATTTTGTACATGTGTATGCATAACATATCATAATATTAGGCAAATATCATATATGTGCATGCTTGCAGACACTGCATATATACATATAAATATATGTGTGTATACATGCAACCAATTGCAAGTTGCAATCCAGTAACGTTTAAGGTTGAAACATATGATTATATATATATATATACACCAGTAACCGTTGCTTGCGAGGCTTTGTAGTTTGAGGTCACCAAAAATCACCTCCACTGGATGTGCTTGGGGCAGTTGCATTGGCAACTAGTGATTGGCATTCCATATATTATATGCATGGCATAGTATGACCAAGCAGGATCAACATTGATCTTTACCAAGTAATGGGAATGCTGGGGTGCATTCGTGTTGTCGGTGGCACGTGGGTAGGGCTGCAACTGCAACTGCCTTACACCTTTTTGGCATTGGATACGCTGGTCTTTGCATGTGTCCGTGATGCTCAGTATCACACCTTTCACGCATGCATATCATCATATTCATGCGAACTTATTTCTGATTAATCACATCCCCCTAATATGAACCTCCCCGTAAAAACTGTGGTCTAGGTGGAGATTTCCACATAATTGGGACCATTAAGGGGGTGTTCAATATTCGGGGGATGGGATTATTCTCAATAATTATATAGTTACACATGCGTTTTTAACGCCAAAATTGAGGTGGACCAGGATGCTACAACCCAAATTGTCCACCTTAAGCAGTTCCTCGGTGACATCCGCCCGTTTCCCCCTGTCACACGGAATTTTCTTCTAGGAATGTGGGATCCAAGTCATCATAAATCATCCCCAGGCATCATGTACCAACTATGTGGAGGCTATGATCAACCGTCCCAAAAGGCTGGGACCCAACAACTACCATCGACAAAGCGCAAAGCGGTGATGGTTTTTATCAAAGCGGATCCAACGGTACATGAGAGCCCCAGGGACTGGTATTCCAAGCAACTGGCTGGTGTACATCATGACTGAAAGCCCTTGAGGTAACGGCAAGTCGTGCGTCCATTAATGATATTATAGCCACTGTGTACTGTCGTCAACCCGGCCCAAAAAAGAACAGATTGACAGTTTAAAGCAGTGTGGTTGATCTCATTTGCATCACACTGTGGAATCAGGTAAATGAGGCACGGCTTATGGCATTTGGCTTTGCCGCATCAATCCCTGCCCCCTAAAATCTCCCTTTGGACCAGGAGGTTCACTCCTTGGAAAAAAAAGGCGTCCATATACAGTCCTCTTTTTCCAGGACTACTTGGGGTCTGATCTTGAGGAATTCCATGATTCATGGAGGCACCTTTACTGAAGGATGGGATGTTTTTGATACGTTTGGTCATTTAGGCTTCACATTGACCAGCCACACCACTGGTTCCAGTAGGGCCTCTATCCAAAGATTGTATATGCTCAATTTTTAAAGATGTTTGAGGAATTATGAAGTTTGGGATTTTGCGTTGGACACTTATGGTTTCTTCTGGTAGTGTCCAAGCCTCGGCATTAAACAAACATGTAGACAAATGGTTCAAACAAATCCACTAGTGCTGACATGAGGGGACTGGGTTACAGAATTTTCTACTTGGCCCCCAGCTTCAAACTGAAGGACAACATTTTCCAACCCAAATCCATCATAATCCTTTGCACCCTATGAACATATCCAAACAAATAGAATCCTTCAATGAAGCTTCCTCCATGAAGGAAGGAATTCCTCAACATTTTGCATTCAAAAGTTGATGGACCTGTACTGGGAACATTCCGATTCTTATACACCCGGGCTGTACATCATATTCATCGTAGAAGACGCCGCGCTTGTGAAGGGTTTTTTACTGAACCATTGGGTTTTGTTTTCAAACTTTTTCCTGCTTGTTGAGGTATAAAGAATGTCAAATCAATGTGTTACATGCCAATTTTCTATCATTTTTAGCCTCTCTCCCAACCCCTGCCGGAGGTTCAAATCTATTTTAACGTATGGCCAAGACAAAAGAAAAAAAACATCCTCAACCCAGGGCACTAGGTCATCTTAGATGCATACTACTATCTAATATTTCGAAACTTGGTCCAGGCAATAGACCTTTAACTTTATCTTACCCGATTTCTGTCATTTTGGCTTCAACACAGTTTTGCAGTGAACCTACAGGATTCAATCTTGGTAGGGCTCAGTGGCCCCATCTGACAGACCAGGCACCTTCACTTTGCTGGGCGTGAAGCGCCACGGCGACCTTCTCTTTCGTTTCCTCCCAGACCTGCCGCGCCATCATGGCGTAGCTTGGGCCTGCTCTTCAAAACTTCGATGGGAATGGGCCAACACCTATTGTATATGACCATATTTAGGGGAATACCCATCCATTCGCCAGCTATTTGCAGGGTACCTAGACTTAGAGTTAGGTACCCGGGTTTTACCTTTAATCATATCAATCGTCACTCTCTAGAAACAACCACAAACGGATGAACATGATAAAATCAGCAAGGCTCTTTCCAGGAGAATCGGCCAAACGTGTGGGCAAGGGATGGCAGTTTGCAACTTTTACCCTTGACTTTCCAAGTAATTGCCAATCAATCAGGCTACTGTAACTAAATCATATTAGATAACTAATCAACACAGCTAAATCATACTAGCTGAAAGTGACTCCCAAAAGTTCTTGTGATTACCCCCCAAACCTCCACAAAATCTTCCCGGCCTTCAGAAAAGGCTTCTGCCAAACCTTTTCTTCAGCGCCTCCACAGGCTACCTGGACGTCTAAGTTTGAAACATGCGTAAGTTCCTCGGGAGTGACCAACATCATTAAACATACACATACATATACATAAGAAATCTTTCTTGCAAGAAACCAAACAACACAACTAAGGATTCTAATATATAGTTATATTGATATATATATATATACATAAAATACATATAATCTAAATAATATGTAATATGTAATGTAATATGTAATGTAATATGTAAACACACACATATATATATAATTATGTATATATAAATAATACAATTAAATACATTCAAAATATATACACTCAAATGGCTGTAGTCGGAGTTGCATTCTTTCAATTTAACGTGTTTTCCGGGTAAATGTAACTATCTCAATGATTTGAACTTTGAATTTGATGAGAGATCATTTTTCTCAAACCAGGGCAATTTTTTCCAGCCATGTCGACTGTTTACAATGAAGAATAGCTTAGGGAGGTCCAATTCGGAAGACTTGACAATACGACTCCGCGTGTGAGAAAAAACACAAGCACCGATCCTGCAGCGTGCTTGCTACGGGGACACTTGCTCAGTCAGGGCTAATGTGCTTGCTTGGGACAACGGGCTACGCAAAAGATGATTTTCCTGTTTTTTCTTTTTGTTTTCTCCGTTTTTGTTCCGTTTCTTTTGGGAAAAAAACGAGATGGCAACGTACCATTGAGAAAGCAACGTTGCAATGTTTATTGGTTTGTACAGATCCCGGACACTTCGTGCTTTCCCAAGGGGTGCATGCTATCTCCGAGGTTCGCCAAAAAAGATGGAAAATAAAACAATAAAAAAAACAAGCCGAGAAGGGACCCTGGGCTGAGGAAGCACCTTACCCTTGGGGAAAATATAGGTTCAGGGGGCTGCATGGGGCTGCTTCACTTTAGTATTTGAACATTTTTCTTTGGTGGAATGGGAAAACAGGGCAAGAGTACGACTCTGCGGGTCAGGATGGCAGCTGACTCAATCATCCGAAGCAAGTTTGGAGAAAAATAAAAGAACAGATGGGGGTTGAAGTGAAGCGGTTAAAAGGGATTTAAACCAAAACAGTTGAGATAGACACGTTTAATTGAGAGGGAGAAAACTTGCACCCACAGATCTTCGAAACACTATATAGAATATGAACTATATAATGTCTAGAATATAACATATATAATGATATACTGAAATATAGTATGCATTATATATATAATAAAATATCTAAAACCATCGCATGTGTGACTCAAGGCCACCTGGCTCTGACACCCCCCAAAAAAACCACAGATCACCTGGGACGCCACGTAGCGAAGCATATCCTGGCGATCCAACCGTTCCAACAAGGGATTCCCCTTGGAAACTCAACTGGGTCTGGCTCAAAAACTTCATCTTTTGGGGTGTAAATTCTCTGGATTTCAGGAAGTTGAACTCTGATAGCAAAACATGACCAAAATTCCACCAACAAAAATCATAATCAATATGATCCCTCGTAGGAAATGTATGGAAATGTGATTCCCAGCAGGAGATACTTCTTGCTTGTAGCCCGATACTAGGCAATGGGTAAGAAGTTTCTTAGATGGGCAATCCGATTAGCTAACTAGTTAGGAAGTGGTGGAAATAGGTGGGTTATTAACCCACTATATCATATCACTATATTCCAATGAAAATCAATTTTCTAACTAGTCAATTAACTCCATGGGCCCATCTAACTATCAACTCCCCAAAAGGATGGATATAATCATCAGCATATTGTGCATCCTGACCACAGCTAGGAAGATGCACGGCTTGCACCATGGACTCCACCAGCAATAGCAAAGGCCAAAGGTATAATCAGGCCTTCCCGCGTTTTTCCTAATATTCAATACCCGCCATAAACCCTGGTTTTAGTGTTGATTCTGTTCAATTTTGGGGGATCAGTCATGAGGGTATTTGCTGTCAGGGGGATGGGATATTGGGTTTGCTGCTCTTCCGGGATCCTTGCCTATTTTGGCGATTAACACCAGCTAGGCCCCTAGGCAGCCGATTGTTTGAAACCATTACCCTGCATTTCCAAGCATATATGTTCCAATTAGGTCAGTAATGACGCATTTCTTCCATTGCTTAAGTAATGATTCAAGCAATGTTGTCCTGCCCCTTGGTTTGGATAATCCAATGCAGGTTCCAACTCCATCATTCACTCACAACATATCGCTTAAACACGTTATTTAAACAATGCAGAAAGAGACTGAGATATCCAACATCTCAATCCCAACCACCAACCAATCCTGAATTATCTGGGCAAAACCAACACGTGAGCACTGTCAAACAATTTGGTCGGAAAATGGGGATTCCCAAGTTCATGGGAATGATGTATGTATGATGTATGTGTATCTATAGGGTGGGGTAACCCCTGTAATCATAAACCGACACTCATGTATCAATTGTATCATCTTATGTTTGGTGGTTGATATCCTGATAAATGAGGGATCTTTCCCCACCCAATGGCTAATTGACTCTATCTCATCTTTGACTGTAAACAAACACACGCGCATCAAATACAAAAGGCTGATCAATGAAGAGTATATCCATATATGTATAAATCACCGTTTAAATTACTAATGACTACTAACAATCTATATAAATCTTAGATCAAAACATCCTGATTAATAAAGGAGTATACTGGTGATATCCATATTTACAATTAATCATCATTAAAATCATTGTATAACATGAATAATCCCTATATAACATTTGAATATTATATCCATTAAGTAATTGAAAATCCTAAATCATCCTTCCTACCCAGTGGTTAAATAGCTTAAATCACCGTTCGAGCCACCCGATGCACGGCCAGCTTTTCGGCCGCGTCCACTTCCTGCGGTGAAATTGGCGTCCAGTACCGGTTGAATATCAGATCAATCCGCATAAATATGTAAATATATAAACATATCTCTTATACAAATCACGCACGAACATATATATATATATATATACACATAATTAAATATGTGCATATACATAAAATATATATATATATATATATAATGTATACATGTGCAAAAATAAATATACATATGCATATATCCATTTGTTTACATATATACATATACATATATACATATGTGCATATTACATTAAAGCAATTCAAAACAAAAACATATGCAAATATTTTTTTTTTTACATGCCTATGTTGAGCGGATAAGCTGCACACATGCCTTTAAAGACACATATGAAAAACATTGTTAAAACATATAGTGCTGAGATTTGGCGGGATTTCATATTTCCCGCCCTACAGAATTATACATAAATACATACACACCCTCTCACCTATTTTACTCAGCATCATTGTAATTTTGGCAAAACCAGGGCGAAAACATGCCACATAATAGATCGATAGATATCCAACATACACATGGATTTGCAAACATCCATGTAATATAATACATACACATGGGTTTGCAAATATCAATTTAATTTTATATAATTTAAGCAGTAGCCAATCCAAATGAGGCTTCAAAGAATACATATGCGAACAGCAAGACACAATGGTGGAAATAGAGACTTGGCCCCAAATTTTCCATATGCAAATCATCAGGTATGTCATCAAAATTTATACAAGCAGCAAATTCCCCAGCCAACCCAATCACCATCGCAGACTGGTCAAGTATCGTCAGACGTTTTGTTTGTGATCTTTGAAGAATTGAACTCAACGCAAATGGGCTACAACATGCTATGGGACCCTGGTGGCCGAGTCAGCGTCCTTTTAAACATGGATAAACTGTGATCAACTGGGATTGTCATCAAATTTCATCCCTGTTCGGAAAATAACATACAGCAGAAGGCCAAACAAGGTTCTGAGCGGACTCGTTCACAATGCAAATGGTAGAAGTGCTGGCCCGCTTGCTATGGGTGCATCACACTGGGCATGAGCCACGCCGCGCCCAAACGCCCAAACGTCCAAACGTGTCTTCACAATATGATCAATTATCAATAACATCAATAATGACAAAAATGGTTCCCCTATGAGCGAGCGTCAAAATTCCCGTTGATTTTGCTGGAACAGTTTCTTGGGACCACAGGTAAAATACATGGTCGGCTCCTCTGGGTCGTTTCCAGTCAGCCAGGCGCCAACGCTGGTCTTCTTCAAACTCTCCGCGGAAAAGATCAGCAACGGACCTTGGCTGAATCACCATCACAAGGATCATCGTCGACATCACCATCATATTCCTAAACAAACTAGTAAAGTAAACACTTGAGGCCGGGGGTGGATGACGAAAGCTAGCGGGGTAGGAGAAAGAAGGAAGGGAAGAGGTGAGTTGCGGAGGGACTGTCATCATCGTGTCGCGGCATTGTTCGTCCCAACGAGGATGCAACAATGATATATGATATATAACAATGATATATATGGGGGAGGGGGCAGGCGGGGCCCTTTCGCGTGAAAAAGCACGTGATGTCCTTGGGGAGCCCCGGAATACTTGCTAAAGCAAGAAGACTCTAGCGAGCTGACGCTAGCTTTCGTGATAATGCCAATAATTGCCAATAATGATAAATTGTAATTGATTAACGATGATGGTGATGATGATGATGATGATGATGACGATGACGAGGACGATGACGATGACGAGGACAAGGACGAGGACGAGGACGATGACGATGACGATGATGATGATGATGATGATGGATGATGATGATGATGATAATGATGATGATGATGGTGATGATGACGATGACGAGGACGATGGCGAGGACGATGACAATGATGATGATGATGGTGATGATGATGATGATGACGATGATGACGATGATGATGATAACGATGATGATGACGATGATGATGGCGGTGATGGTGGTGATGATGATGATGATGACGACGACGATGACGACGACGATGACGAGGACGATGGCGAGGACGATGGCGATGATGATGATGATGATGATGACGATGATGATGACGATGATGATGATGATGGTGGTGATGGTGGTGGCGGGCGGGTCCCCCCCTTTCGCGTGAAAAATCACGTGATGTCCTTGAGCAGCCTCCGGAATACTTGCTAAAGCAAGAAGACTCCAGCTAGCTGACGCTAGCTTTCGTGATTACTACTCAACATGCTGACCATCAACATGCTGACCATCATCAACATCAGTAGCAGCAGCATTTCCAACATCATTTGAATTCATTTGACACTTCTCAAATGCACTGGCAGCCATGACCCCATGTCAGCCTCCCAGCCAAGCGGCAGAGAAGCTTCTCACCAACCAGTTTCAGGCGGGTGGTCATCGGGACACACTGGGCTAATGCCTACGACCCCGGCAACCCTTTCGACCCAATGGGCTGTAGCCTCTGTTGACACACAAAGGAGGCCTCAAAACGCATCAAACATCCGGGAGTGTAGCAAGCAATTAGGGCATACCGGCATACCCCATCCAGTAGCATGGCTACATCATTTAAGGTCTTATTCCGCTATATTCCTTGGGAATGCCAGGTGTTCCTTCAGAATACCAGGGGGTCAGGTCGGACCAAGGCAAACCATCCGCTTTCCCCAAGCCTCATCCACAAATAGCCGGTTTGTGAGTTGAATCCTGGGCACAATGATCACAATGCCGTGCGGGCACGCGACATGGCGTTGGTAGACTTAGACCCTTAAACTAGCCCAATTTCCGTAACATAAATTTTCATAAATCGTCCCAATGAGGGATCCAAAATGAATAGATATAATAGATGAACAGATCGAATACTCAACGAGGGGTTCTTAGCGAGGTTTTGAGGGGGAAGGGATTGCCATGGTTCATCATCCATGAAGTAACACACCATGATAAATTTGGATAGTGAACCCTCCAATCCACACCGCTGATTTCTGAAAAAACATGCGTGCAACTTGGAGGTTCCGGCGCTGATAGCGGACGCGTTGTTTTTTTACATTGACCACTGAATTCTATTGGGACAAATATTCTGCAAACCTGGATTTGGAAAACGGGGTTTGCACACAGTGTTTCGTGCTCTTGTTTTTCTCTCTTCATGGGTCTCAATGTTTGCGTTTGTTAACTTTAGCTGCCAGTTTGTTTAGACTTCCAACCACAACGATAGGCGAAGGACCACACATATGTTTTTGGATTCATTGAGAATCCTTTTTGGTCACCTTGTCTTTGCTACCCAGGGAGAAGGGCGCACAGCGATCAGTTGGCGCCAGATCTGGTCAAGCAACTGTGTTCCACTGATACGATTTTTTTCTCACTTTGGTCTTGCGAGTGAACTCAATCTGGTAGTGAGTGACATTGTGGAAGCACAGGCGATGTCTTTTGCGCTGAAAATAGAAACACGATTCAAACAACTAGAGACATGTTACACAGTAGCATCAAGAGCGTGTGGCAAGCGACAAGAGACATGTTACAGTTACAGCGTGGCATCAAGAGCGTGTGGCAAGTGACAAGAGAAGTGATACGGCGTAGCATCAAGAGCCTGTGGCAAGTGACAAGAGAGATGTCACAGCGTAACATCAAGAGCGTATGGCAAGTGACAAGGGACATGTTACAGCGTAGCATCAAGAGCGTGTGGCAAGTGACAAGAGAAGTGATACAGCGTAGCATCAAGAGCATGTGGCAAGTGACAAGAGAAGTGATACAGCGTAGCATCAAGAGCGTGTGGCAAGTGACAAAAGACATGTTACAGCGAAGTATCAAGAGCTTGAGGCGTTACGGAGTTGTGGCCCACTTGTCCACCCCCACTCCACCCAGTTGCCCAAGAAAATCAGACTATCCTTCGTGCACAACTTCTAACTGACGTGCACACCTTCTAACTGATGCGCACAACTTCTAACTGACAGGCAATGCGGAAGCAAAAAAAGCAGGAAAAACTGCGGGTCCGTTAACAGCGCCGGTAGCTGCAACAAACATATTGAAAATCCAATTTTGCCAGAAGCACATCCACAACCAAGGCACCCCCCAAAAAGCAGCGTCCATGTTTTTGATTGCTGTTCAGCCAGCCCTCCGCACTGCGGTGATCCCCCAATGATAGTCTGGTTATGTAGGATTCACCCTTTTAAACGTGGTTGTTGGTTAATAATCTCCAACATACCCAACCAGTGGGGTAGCTGAGTGCCCTTGATTCTTCAGGCTGCGAGCCAGGTCGCTTGTCATGGATGTTGGGCGTAGGCAACTTGCCAGCTCCTCCGTCCCACTTGAAGCCTGGAGACTCCTGGTACCGCCCGAGTCGAGCTGCAAGCTGTCGAATGCCAGCAGGTGGACAGGTGGAATCATCACAATCATCACAATCATCACGATAATAATCATCATCACCACCATCATCAGCAGCATCATCATGATCATAATCAGCAGCCTTAGCCTCATCGTCATCGTCATCGTCATCGTCATCATCATCATCATCATCGATCATCATCATCATCATCAGCAGCAGCAGCAACATCATCATTATCATCATCACCAACATCATCATCATCATCAGCATCATCATCATCATGATGATCATCAGCAGCAGCATCATCATCAGCATCATCAGCATCATCACCATCATCATCAACATCATCATCATCGTCATCATCTTCATGGTCATCGCCATCGTCATCGTCAGCGTCGCCATCATCATCATCATCATCAGCAGCAGCAGCAGCATCCTCTTCCTCCTCATCATCATCATGATAAAAAAACGCCATCATCATCGTCATCATCATCGTCATCATCATCGTCATCATCATCATCATACTCATCACCATCACCATCACCATCATCATCATCATCGTCGTCGTCATCATCATCATCATCCTCATCATCATCATCCTCATCATCCTCATCATCATCATCATCATCACCATCATCATCAGCAGCAGCATCGTTGACAGCAACAGCAGCAAGAAATGGCAACACCAACACAAAAGGCATGGCTTGGCTAGCCTGACATACTCAGCAAGAACACATTGCTGGAAACACGATGTACATGATTAAATTACACCATTACATTCCTCAACTGACGGCAGAACACCATGAACAACCATCAGTCTACCTATCTTCCCAAGATCTACTGAGCCCTGCCAGCCCGCAGGAATGGCCCTGGAACCGCAGCCTCCCAAATGAACTGTTCCGCACGCTTCTTGAAGCCCATCTCCCACTCACGCTCCTTCCAAGCCACAGGAAGCGGATAAAATGGAGAAAGGATCACTGAAATTACTGGATCCTCAATTTTATGATTTTCCAACCAAAGTAGCCGACACTAAAGAAACGAACGTAGTTGAAGGATGTGATCACGGCATTGCCTGCATCACTACTAAAATCCTGGCGTTGACAACGTGATACCCATCGCCATTGCTTGCAATACTGGATAAGCGCACGGCAAAGAAGCTGAAGCTGATGATCACTGATGGGTTACGGCAAGGAACAACTTCATGTTCATTTTCCTTGGCACGGACCGTCCGTGTTCAATCAATCTGCCAGATTGTGTTGATCCAAGGTGGACAATAATTACAACATACTGCCTTTTTATCCAAGGCTGGACAGTGACAGTGCTTTCAAGAGAACTTGGTGACAAAGGACAATGTGGGGCAAATGCGCTTCCACCAGCGCACCATCATCATCATTTTTCGGCTCAAAAGATCAAAATCTGTGGAAACCGTTGAAACATATAGAACATATCCACAAAGTCCATACATATCGTTCTTGAACAAATTCATACATTGCAACGACCAAGGCCCAAAGAAGCGGCAGTCTCCCAGCCCCAAAAAAGTGGTTTCCCCTCCATCTTCAGCCGCTCCTTGGTGTCCACCTGCAGATTGCTCTCCAAACACCAGAGGCGGTTCCAACGAAAGGCTTCGTTCTTCATACCCGGCTTCCCTTGCCTGGTACCAGGCTGGTTGAAGGGAGCGACTTTCATTAATCCTCCGGAAAAAGATGCACATAATTCAAAGTTGACCATAGCCAGGATTTATTCCCCGATCAAAAACATCAATTCAAAAGCTTTGACGCTCTTGTGGTATGTGTCTTTTCCCTCAGGCCAATTCTACTGCTGGCACCAAGGCACCCCAGGACTTCAGCGTCCTCGCGATCAACATACTCGAAGGCCTGTGAGCGCGTGCAGCGCGCAGTGCAATGCTGAAATCGCGCAGAACAACGGAGGAAAACGCTGGAACTTTAGGATGTAACTAAGATGTTGACGCTGTCCGAAGCCCCAAAGGAGGAAAACAAACAACAATGAAGAACATATTGCCCTCTAGCAATCAAACATGGCAATGGAACATCCCTCATATTGATGATCTGCATGGATGTGCCACGTTTGATTACTGTTATAACTCATTATAGCCACCATCTTCCAAGTTGTGGAGCGAAGGTTGATTCCCTCCCAGTGAATCTTGCCTTCCATGGCGCCGAATCGGGATTCCGTGGATATTCATCTTTCACCCACCTGGGAATCCGAATCGGGATCCGGAGACCGAAAAGATCATGTCTGGGATGAGGATAGCATGACCATCCAGCTGATCTAAGCCCTGGAAGAAGGATGGAAGGATGGAATGACAAGTGAATTGATGATCCTAAAAATAGGACACCTGGCAGCAGAAAAAAACAAGATAAATCATCTGAACCAGGGATCTGAAAATGGCATCCACAGCCACAGCCATAAAAAGACAATCTGCCCCCAGCCCCATGCTTCCAAGCTTGGTCACAACATGTCACAACAAGCGGCAAATGTCTGAGCTTAGCTGATAAACGCCAGGTGACTGAGATTCCAATCAGCAAGAATACGTCAGTAGAATTTTTCAAGGTGTTGGAGCTGCAAAACAAACTTTTTGAGTAAGTGGGGAGCCTCAGATCATCCCAGTGACACAGCCAAGGAACACAGATCCAGCCCAGCAAGTCTTGCGCGGCTTGGGCCCTCGAAAGCCCAAAACGCGCAGGTTCTCCAAGCGCTCCGAGAGGGAGCCGCTTTCTAAGGCCTTGTGGATGTGGGACATGGGCAAATGCTGCGAAAATGCTTTGGAAAACAAGTCTGCCTGCATCTACGGCATCTTCACATAGCTAGGTGTCAAAAGCAATTCCCAGAGAAGCAGCACATGTCTTTCCACGTGTTTATGGAACAGTTTGGAGATGTTTGGAGTGTATTTCATCGTCCTTATTCCATACAAGTTGATACTGCAAATGCAATCAAAATTTTGGGTATATGATGATGATTCCAAAATCATATTTAAAATACCCAAAAACATATGATAAGTATAAGATTGTATAAATACTAATATTAATTTTGGGATAGTTACCCCTTAATCCCCTTATATACATCCCCTAACCATCATCTTTGGTGAGTTTTTTCGGTCAACCCTCCCACCTTCGCCACTTCTTCCCACGCCGGGAGCGTGGCGTTTCGCTTCGCCTGAGATGGAATCGCAGCATCACCTGCCTATTGAAATCTTTGCCACCCATGACCCTAAAACATCCATGATGACTCAGGCCTCTCAGGCCTCATGTTGAATATCAACAGGTACAACATACTGGGATTTCAGAAGGCCATGAGCTAGCCCCTATTTTGCAACAGTACTGGCTGCATGTTTGTCTGGCAATGCGGGCCAAACATAGACTGACTTGAAACTTCAGATGAATGTATAAACATCTTCTGGGTTGGACACATGTGTCATGATCGAATCATTGTATCATCATGATATCAGCGAATTGTACCGTTGAAGTGTTCTGAATATCCAAATTTATCCCCTTTTCTGGAAACATTGGAGAACCCATTTCTGGAGAATCCATTGGGGTCACGGGTCACTATGGGTTTCTCTGAAAATAGGATACCACCTAATTTGATAGTTTATCAGTTTTATTTCCCAATTTTATGGGTATTACTTTACCCCCAGCTTCCAACAAATCGAAACATGAGATTGTTGGTTAGAAGTTTAAAGTCATCATTCAATAGTTTCCAGAAAAAAAGGGTTCTCCTAATATCCCCGATGATTTTCAATTTTGAGATCAGTCAAATACCCCCTATCATCCCGAGATCCCACCCTGGGCTCCCACCGGCGACACGCTGGCCAACACTCCGAAGACCATGCCACGATGTCCAAGAAGACAATGCTGTGGCGCCCCGGCGATGCCCGGCTTCCCGGGGGATGGGTTTCAAGGAAAATTCAAAAAAAGGTTGCCAAAAAAGTAACCATTTAAGGTTTTAGTTGAAAGATCAATATGAACCGCTTTGACTTTCTCAATGCGAGCTTGTTTTTTTTTTGCCTATAGCTTGATTTTGTATTCAATTACCGTACAGTATTGCAACATGGCACTGTTTGGCGGGAAACATCTATTTATTCGTGAATTTTCAGACCTGGTCCAGCTCGGATCCCAAATTTCACTGGTCAGATCTTTCTCCAAGCTGGCCTTTGAGACTTGGTATAACTTGGTGAGGCTTACACTTTCACTTAACGAACGAGTTAGAACAGTTAGAACCCTGCCGCTCCATGCATCTGCAAGATGATCCCTTATGATCCTCCCGGCTTTGTTTTGCTCCGTGCGCGTAGCAAAAACTTTTTGCCTCAAAGGTGATAAAAAGTATTATCCAATATAAAAACACATAGAAACACTATGGTTGGTGATGGTTTCAGCCCATTTCCAAAAACATGGGTGCGAACAACGGACACACGTCCCAAGATCTAGCAAGTGCTCAGCCGCAGCCCTACTGTCCCTGCAAAGTGCCAGTGCGTACCAGCAAATACTTCAAGAGGTCGGGCTGACGGTTTTCAAGCCGATTTAGGTGCGCCAGCCTCAGTGTCTTGGTGAAGTTCCCATCACAATCATCACATGAGGCACGATGACAGAGTGCCATCCCACTCACCCACTCCACCTCAAATCTATGCAAACATTACAGCAATCAGTAATTAGCAAAAGAACATACTTTTATAAAATCATTTGGCAACTGCCTTCTCAGAAATGAAATCTTAATTCTCTTCTGGGTTCAAATAAGATGTGATCTTTCCCATGCCCGGATATACAGTACAATCATTCCAGCTTTAATTATGCCATTTCTACGCCTAGTTGCATGAGCAAGGGTGCAATCATCACGTTCCAAAGTGCACGACATCTCTTCTCCTCAGAGCCAATGGGCCAATGCACAGTAACATTTTCAATGCGCAACAAAAACGAACGACATTTCCATTGATTGACTTGACTGACTTGAACCTGTAGAACCTGTAGGAACATCTTCAGGCCGCATCAACATTGCATCATCTATAGGACAATGTCTTTATTTTTCACCTCCAGACTTGTTCGCGAAACGATCTCCAACAAATCCTGTCCTAAACTGCTGGAAACAACGGCCCTTTATGTCAAGCGGCCACAGGTTTTAGCTTGTGAGCGTCGCCCTCTTTCATCATCAAGGCCTGCCCACCAGGGGAAAACTTGCACCGGGCCCAGCAATGGCTGTGCAATTTTGGTGCAACCCCAAGCGCAACTACCTGCTTGGTGGTTGTAGGGGCCTTTGAGCTCAGGAGCCCAGTGGCCGCCAGTGCTGTCATTTCTTTCGTTAAGCGGCCAAGACCATGCGGATGGCAAACAAAATGCTGACTGACGGGGGTAACCACTACTTAATGGGTTCTTAACCCGCTATCTCCCAATTAAAATCCATTTATCAACCGCCCAGAGAGCGCACAGCATGCTGCCCACCACTCCTGGCACCAAACTGAAAGTGATACCCCCCAATGATTTCTCACATAGCTATTAATTTCATGGGCATGTGCAAATGAATTAATATGTTGTGTGCCAAATATGTATATATATATATATATATAGCTATTAAAATGTGTGATGTTCCATAGTTGTGTTAGCAAACCGAAGGGTAACTGAGCAGGTGTCACTTCTGAGTTGGTGATGCACCATCAGGATCTTCCAGGAAAACAATGTCAACACACATATATATATATATATATATATATGTACTGTATATATATTTGCCAAATGGATTCATCATCATCACCACCACCATCATCATCATCATCACCATCATAACCATGATCATCATCATTCAATAAAGGAGCACACCAGAATAGGATACAATATGATATAAGATATATGCTCTAAATTCAAACATAAAAATCAAATCAATATCTTTAAAAGCACAAACATAGGCCATAGGCTTGTACTGTTCATACATGACATCAGCATACATCAACTCTCACATGGATTTTGTGATGTTCAATCATGTTCATCCCCTCAAAAAAAAGGATAAAACAAACAAGAGTTCATCAGCCTGTCCTGTCCTTTTTTGATAGTTACCCTGTGGTTTGCACATTTGTATCTCCATATATCTCTCGATATAACAGGGAAAAACTGGAGACCCATAGCTCCAGAAAGCTCCAAAAAGGTCCCTCCGTTCCACTGGATATGCGATTGACGTGGCTGGGAGGGAACTGAACATTACTGAGTATATTACTGATGTTGCTCGTGTTAGCTATGATATCCTTGATATTATCCATATCATAACCGCATGATTTACGTTGTCACCTCATAAAACGAGGTCGTCGTTATTAAAACTCCGGCGTGCCTCAATGCCATGCGTACGATCGCCGGCCTCAGCCCAAGATGTGAGACACAAACGGGAGGTCAATGGAACCACCATTTTTTGGCAATTTCTATATCATCCAATTTTATTGCAATTATTTGGTGATTATTTTATGGCAATTATTTCTATATCATCCAGTGTGTTCAATTATCATCAATTTGCGGGGGTTCAAATTTCATTTTGCAGCGCCCGTCTTTCGATGTTTGTTTTGTCGTAGTTTTCAAGTCAAAAGTAAACATATTGCCTGCAAAGCATGGACTACAAACAAACAACACAGGAAAATACAGGAATCTTCTGAACACAGTTCTGAACCTATAGTTCTCGAGGCTGCATGCTAGGTCTGCGGTTTGAAAGAACCATGTGCATGTGGCTGAATTCAGGTGCAATCAAGAAGGCTCGGCGGCACTTTTTCCACACATTTCCATAAGATTTGTCCCTTGGGGCTATTTGTCCCGCTTCAGCGATCGAAAAAAACCCAGCAAAACACAGATCTTTGGGCTCTATGGATTTCCACCGCTTGTTGGCTTCGTGAAGCTTCTCCCATCATTCTAGAGGCATGCGTTTCATTCAAAGGCACTGGAAGGAGAATCTGCTGATGCAGCCTCAGTCGATCTCCTTGATTTACCTGGCAGGTCAGGATTGTGAAAACAATTCTCTCTCCACCTGAAAACAAGATATCTTGATATCTCAGGTTGGGCCTCCAATTTTGTGAGTCAAACAAACTGCTCTTGCAGGTCTGGTGGTGTCACACACGAATCAGGTCTACCACCGTTTTGGGATCTCATTGGGTGGGATCAAGCAGCATCTCACGATTGAGCTGTAAATTATATAGGCCATCCTCAAGCGTGGATGCAAACCATGGAAACCCCACCTGAATCCCAAATGGCAAGCCTGCGCTGGCGACCCATTTCTTGGAACCCTCACGAGTCGGAATCGAAGCTCTACGCGAAATTGCCATGCAAATTGACCGATCACTACATGGTGCGCCACCCGCCACGGCACTGTCACACTGTCGCGACTCTGTACCGAAAGGGGTCGGGACACCAGGCCTATAGGGGGAGCGCTGAATTTGTGCGCTCACTGCGATGACCAAAGCATTAGATTATCATTGAGAAGCTGCATGGTGATGATGGAATCCTCAGATGCGGTGAGCCGTGGCAAATATGAAAAAGGATGGGGTGCACGTGCTTATATAATTTTCACTATCACCATATATATATATATATCTCTCTCTCTCTCTCTCTCTGTGCGTGTGTGTTATAAATATATTCGATATAGATATAATGATATGCTGTATACATACAATTGTATGGATTGATTGGGATGGGGTCATGGTGGAATTCAACCTGACTTGTGGTCACAACAGCCCATGCCGCTCGCCGTATGCTTGTGGGCCAAGCAGTGATTGGACCGGAAGTTGTTGGATCATCTTCAAAAACAAAAAAGGATCAATTTGATCAAACAAGCCTCCAAAAAAGGAAGATTTGGTTGCCGACCGATCCAATATACACAATGCAATGCGCTCAATTTTAGGTTGCCATCTAGCAAATAAATATCGCCATCTAGTACATCGAAAGTTGGCCATGCGGCGGGTCAAAGAAAAATGGACACCAACCAAACAGTACTTCCTGGGAAGCATTTTAATTATGGAAGAAAATAAAAGGAAGTATGAGTTTTCTTCCAACCAAAATTACCAACCAACACCAACTATCATTTTATGATCATTTTGTTGTCCATTCAAAGAACAAACAAAAAGGCAAGTTTTGGAGAAGTTGCACCTAGTTTCTGGACAAACCACGAAAAAAATGTGTCCGGGCTCATTACCATCCCCAACCACCCAAAGCCACCTAAGCAAATTGTGGAAATTCACAAACCTGACAATAAGCAGTTAGGGATGATGCCCGCTGCACAAAGCATGAATTTGCACGGATTTCTTCTATGAATCATCCCCAGTACCCAAATTTAACATCATCTCGAAGGTAAATGTTAATTCCAAGGGCTGTTACTGTATGAATTGGGGATCGTGACTATTAGTGTGTTCACCAGTTACCAAATATATTGTGTGGTTGGGAAACTATTAGTAGTACCTTGGCTCCCCATGAAAAAAGAAGGAAATATGGATACTCATATCTCCTTAGCTCCCCCCAAGCACAGGATAGTAACAGCAATTCTGATTGGTGGTTTTGCCCTCAAAACAACCACTTGTCATTGGGGATCATACCATGCCTGTGGCTGACTGAAAATTGAAAGCAAATTGAAATTATTGTAGAACCAAAATGAATGTGTTACGGGAAAGCAACCCCAAAGTTCATCAAAACACTATATGACCATAATGGATAGAGTAAAATCATAAAATATTGCTCATCCATGCTAATCCCAAGTGTGGCTGTTGCTGGTCAACATCAAATTTTGGCGGTCTAGAATCCTCATTGTTGGTGGGAACATGACAGTCGATTCACTCCGAGCCAATCAACCGATGGGAACAGGACATCTGAGCAAGTGTTCGAAAGCTTCTGTCCCTATATACTACTTGGTTAATAAGGATGCCTATAATAAGGATTCCCAAATAATCCCCAAGATATTGGGCGAAGAAAAACACACAAACATCATCAACCAACAGGGGCGAAAAACCGCAGCCACTGCGAAGAGATGGGCAATGGGATTGGCCAGTTAACGAACTCCATGGCCCACTGAAGTGTGTTTAAACGAAATAAGTATTAGTAAGTTGTAATATGGAGTAGATACTTAATCAGACTTGGCGGCCAACCAAAAACATATAATGAATATTTACACCATTGTATCCAATATCACTATTAAATCCCATGATATGAGTCACCAGCTTGAATCCCAATCAGTCACCATTTTTCTGACGCTTAAATCCTACGAAGTCACCATTTTTCATCACCATCAAAGCCCATTAAATCACCGTTTTTCTTGGTTTTCCATCTGGTTTTCCATCCCATAAACATCATTGGGCCACAAACCTTGCCCTCGAAGCATCGTTGCGCGACTCCTCTGGGATATCCTCAATGCCCGCGCTGGCCGCGTTCAGTGCGTCCGTGGCCGTGGCCACTGCATGCTCGGTGTCCTGGAGGCAGCTGGAGGCAGCTGGAGGCCGGGCTGCGCCTCGCTTAAAATGGTGGTGAAATATGGAGAAAAACGTAGAAAAACTATCCAACATGATTGTTTTATCATCGAACATACAGGTTGAAACAAGAAAAATTATGAAAAATGGTGGTTGATGGAGTCTTGTGGCCAACAAAAGCGCACAATAGTGTGAAACAGCATGTTTAGGCAAAGCAAGTTACCTACTTATCATTTGGGATCATTTGGGGGTCCACCTTGCTATCAAACCTTGCAATTTTCGTCATGAAGTTCAAGCTGCCATGCAAGCCAATGGTTGAGATTCACCCTTATCGTGAGGACGTTGGTTCAATTCATAGGCCCGAAACAAAAAACTTGCTAATGGTGAGGTCACCATCATGGATCATTCTGGTTACCCTGATTTTTGCTGGTTGAATCCCCAATCTACAACACTCTGTAGCCATCTGTATATATATTTATATATATGTGTAGATGTATGTATGTGTATATGTATGGGAAAACATATAATATGTATATATACGTGTATATATATATAGGGTTGGTGGAATCCCCGGAACTGACCACCAGGATCCCTGGTGAAAGCGTGCACTGTCCTTCAACACCTCATGCAGGAAGACTGAGAAGTTGAGGGCCAAACCCAGTCGCACCTAGGATTGCACCAAGGCTTTGGGTTAATGACAAATTTCAATGAGCATCATTTAATGTTCTCTCAAGCTAATGGGTTAATATATCTCTATATATATATATATAGTACGCCTCAAGGTGACGCTGCCGTAACACTCAAATGGACTGAAATGTGTAGGGGCGCATTTATATAGGCGCACGCTGATGCATGAGGTGTCCTCAGCATGGTCACCGAACACAACAACACATTTCACATGAATCGCGATCAGTGAAACAGTAGAGCCGGCATGTCAAAAGCCAAAAAACTATAAATAAAACGGTGTGTGTATGACATGTGTATGACATAAATTTAATCTGTATATATATATAAATAAATAATTGCATAGATAAATGTATAATGATATAAAATATGCATATAAACGGTGTGTATGTTTTTAACGTTTGTGTGTGTGTGTGGGAGGGGGTTGTGTATGGCAAGCACTGCCTCACTAGCCAGGTGACAGGATGCGCGGTGGGTAGCGACATTGCCTCACCCATGCCTGTGGCAGCAACATTTGCCAATGGATCAATGGATTGGAAGGAAAACTTACAGGAAAAGAATGAAAAACCAGGTTCTTCCAATCACAATATCTAGTTGGTGGTTTCAACCCCCCTGAAAAAATATCAGTCAGTTTGGATCATCGTCCCAGCTATTGGGGAAAATAAAGCACGTTCCAAACCACCAACCAGATATACAGTAATTCAAGGGGTTTGCTGCTAATCTTCCCTGCAAACAAGACTCCTCATACAGCATGGCTGCAGGTCGTGGCTGCAGCTGACGAATCTAATATCTATTCAGATACGTTTCAATCACACCCCCATATGCTCCATGTCTGGAATCGGAATACTTATCAGCAGTATGACCCCAAAACTCACCCAAATGTAGCCAAACAATGGTAAATATATCATACATGGAGCATCTATGAGCATCTGGGATCTGTTTTGAATTCTTTTGACCCCTGTTCCAAGCATGTCCAGCGCCTGACTTGTAGACTTCCATTGCCTGCGGCACCGTGCCGGCCGAGCAAAAACATGCTCAGGAATGGCTCAGTTTTTCCTGCAACTTAGGATGTGTTAAGATTGAACATAAGGAGGATTCACCGACATGCTTTTATTTTTATTACCAAGGGATACCGTGGGCGTACTGAATTAACATTACAAAATATAGGGCCGGAGTACATTCCCATTGATATGACTTATGCAGCAAAGCACGAAATGACTTGTGTTTCAAGAAGTCTCTCTCAATAATGGACATATTAATCATGTCAAGAATCAAACTTCCCCCACCCAAATTGGATCGTCCGTCAATCAACATGGTAAATCGCCACAAACCGTCCCAGTAGCCTAACAGGGTCAGTCGTTTAATTATCCCAAATAAATTCAACGGGATACCCTCTGGCAAATTAACATAGACCCTGGCAGATAGGGTTGGAAGATTAGTTTCCATTGAAACTAGGCTATTTTCAGGGTCTATGTTCATTTACCGGAGGGTATGTTATATACCCGAACAAAAAGTCCCAATTGGGGACATGGCAGCTCCACTCATGATACCAGGCATTTCTGGTTGGATCAATTCCGACGGCTTTCACCCTACTTATATCCTTATATCATGGGTAATATCATATGGGCAATCATGAGTATATAATATCAATTAATATGATTAATATCATATTATGATGTTATATCCTTGTACAATCAAAGAAAATCGAGCTTTTCTGATGATATCCAGGGTTCAACGGTTCAACATGGTTCAACTCTGAACTCCGCCCCTGGAGCCACGCAAAAAAAAGGGCGCCTGCCCTGCAACTTCGCTCTTGGCGGGTCCTGTGGTCCATTCAGCCAGGTAACCTCAGCGGGGTGGGGCTTGACTACCCTCTATAGTAATTTTTTAAATGGCTACCCTCCAGTAAATTAACATCGACCCTGGCAGATAGGGGTTGGAAGATTAGTTTCCACTAAACATTGGCGATTTTCGGGGTCTATGTTAATTTACCAGAAGGTATCTGGAACATCTATTTTTAACATAGGGGAATTGAAGCCACCAGCCACATAATTATAATAATTAGCATTAGTAAATCAAGAAATCCTATGGAAAATGGATGAAGCTGGTCCATTGATGGATGATTGACAATTTTCAAAATGATGACTTTCCATAGCTATGTTACATTACCAAAGGATATCCAAACATATCCAAACTAATAATTATCTGGACTTCAGGAACGTCCAGAAAATGTTGTAACATGCTGAAACCAAACTGAAGGACATAACGGCAATCGACATGAAGTTCTTTAGAGGTGCACGGTTTGGTGGTTTCTCAGCTCCCAATTTGGGACGTTGATTTCTATAACATGATTTCTGCACTGTACCCGTTACAGTTGGTCCCAAGATCAATGGCAAGGACTCAATAAGGCAATGGAACCCGGCAGTGGAAACTCCTCTGGTTAGAATCTGTTTGTCTATCTATCTATCTATCTATCTATATATATATATGTATACTTTATATTTACATATATATATACACATATATACAACTATACCGCATGACCATTGACGATTGGCACATGTTTTTCTTCTTAAACATGCGGGTTGCCCAAACCGATGTTTGAATGTCATCAGTGGCCACTAGCGGTGCCCAAGTATCTGCATACAGTAATACATATACGCATACAACAGCCAATAAGCACGTGTATGACATATAAACACATATGTATGCATTAATATGCATTAATATGCATTAATATGATTAATATGCATTAATATGCATTAATATTTATTAATTAATATGCACAAATAATATCCATATATATATGAACTAATATGCATTAATATCTATTTCTACAAACATATATATATATGTCATCAATAAATATATACGAATATATTTCTATAAACATTAAAAAACATATAGTAGAAATATGGTAAAACATATACCTCCTATTGAACCTGCTCTTGTTTTACAATCAATAAAAAAAACAACATGCACCAGCATCGTCCCCATCTCGGTCCAGGGGACGGTAATAGTCTCCTTGCATCTTCAAGAAGAAGGTCTTAGCTTCTCCAGGTTCTGCAGCACTCACCAAAGTGGACAGCCTTGGCAATGGATGGCGACTGACTTTGGTACTGTGAATGGACATGCTTTGTCTGTTGAGTTAAAGGAACAATGTAGGAACGAAATACACATGTGAGTTTGTTTACGGAGAAAAAACAGTGACTTTTTATGTACCATTTCCCTTCAACCCATTCATCATGCGATAAACCCTATGATTACTGATAGTGGCTAAATATCACAGGAGAAAAGTATTGGCAAATTAGGTTTATACATCATTTTCAGAAAATGAAATTAGTTTCAATGGGGTTGTTTCTATATCAAAACAACGGGGATGGCTCTTTGCATGCCTGTCATACACACAAATCAGATATACTTAGATATGAAAAAAAACATGCCGCAATAAAGGACAACTCACAGATGAACAACACATGCCACAATATGAGACAACTCACATATGAAAAAAAACTACAACATAAGACAACTATATATGAACAAACAGATACCACAATATAAGACAACTCACATATGAAACAACACATGCCACAATATAGGACAACTCACATATGAAAAAAAAACATGCCACAATATCAGACAACTCAAATATGAAAAAAACACATGCCAAAATATCAGACAACTCACATATGAAAACAACACATGCCACAATATAAGACAACTCACATATGGAAAAACACATGCCACACTATAAGACAACTCACATATATAAAGGGGGACATGCCACAATATGAGACAACGCACATATGAAAAAACACATGCCACAATTTAAGGCAACTCATACGAGAAAAAAACTCATGCCACAATACAAGACAACTGACATATGGAAAAAAAACATGCCACACTATAAGACAACTCACATATGAAAAACACATGCCACAATATCAAACAACTCACAAATGAAAAAACACATATGAAAAAAACAAAAAACATGCCACAATATAAGACAACTCACATATGAAACAACACATGTTGCAATCATGTTGCAATATAAGACAACTCACATATGAAAAAACAAACATGCCACAATATCAGGCAACTCACATATGACAAAACACATGCCGCAAAAAAAGACAACTCACATACTGGTTTCGAAAAAAACACATGCCACAAAATAAGACAACTCACATATGGAAAACACACATGCCACACTATAAGACAACTCACATATGAAAAACAAAAAACACATGGCACAATATAAGACAACTCACATATGAAAAAAAAACATGCCACAATATCAGACAACTCACATATGACAAATCACATGCCAAAAAATCAAACAACTCACATATGAAAACCACACATGCCACACTATAAGACAACTCACATATGAAAAAACACATGCCACACTATAAGACAACTCACATATGAGAAAAAAAACATGGCACACTATAGGACAACTCACATATGAAAAAAAACATGCCACAAAATAAGACGACTCTCATAAGGAAAAAAAACAATATAAGACAACTCACATATGAAAAAACATGCCACAATTTAAGGCAACTCATTCAAGAAAAAAACGCATGCCACAAAATAAGACAACTCACATATGAACAAAACACATGCCACAATATAAGACAACTCACATATGAAAACAACACATGCCACACTATAACACAACTCACATATGAAAAACACATGCCACAATTGAAAAAATAAAACAACTCACATATGAAAAAACACATGTCACAATATAAAACAATTCACATATGAAAAAAACACATGCCACGATATCAGACAACTCAGATATGAAAAAAAACATATGCCACAATTCAAAAAAACAACTCACATATGCAAAACCACATGCCACAATTGACAATATAAGACAACTCACATATGAAAAAAAATGCCACAATATAAAACAACTCAAATATTGAAAAATACATGCCACAATAAAAATATGAAAAAAAACATGCCACAATATAAGACAACTTACATATAAAACAAAAAAAACACATGCCACAATATAAGACAACTCACATATGGAAAAAAAAACATGCCGCAAAATAAGAAAACTCACATGTGAAAAAAACACATGCCACAATATTGAAAAAAAAACGCATATGAAAAAAACGCAACAATAGGAGACAACTCACATATGAAAAAAAATACATGACACAATATCAGACAACTGACATATCAAAAAACAAAAAAAACACACACACATGCCGCAATATAAGACAACTCACATACGGAAAAAAAATGCCGCAACATAAGACAACTCACATATATATATATATATATATATATATGTAAAAGACATGCCACAAAAGCAGAAAACTCACATATATATGATAAAACACATGACACAATATAAAACAACCCACAAATGAAAAAGAACAACTACAACATAAAACAACTATATATGAACAAACAAATGCCACAATATAAGACAACTCACATAAGAGAAAGAAAACACATGCCACAATATAAGACAACTCACATATGAAAAAAAACATGCCACAATATACGACGGCTCAAATTCAAAACACACATGCCACAATAGAAGACATCTCACATTAAAAAAAAACCTATGCCACACTGTCAGACAACTCACATTTAACAAAAAACAAAAACACATACCACACTAAAAGAATACTACTCACATATAAAAAAACACATGCCACAATATCAGACAACTCACATATGAAAAAAATCACATGCCACAATATAAGACAACTCACATGTGAAAAAACAACACATGCCACAATATAAGACAACTCACATATGAAAAATCAAAACACATGCCACAACATAAGACAACTCACATATTGAAAAACACATGCCACGATATCAAACAACACAGATATGAAAAAAAAACCAATACATATGCCACAATAAAAGACAACTCACATATCCAAAAAACATATGTTACAATATAAGACATCTGACATATGAAAAAACAACACATGCCACAATATCAGACAACTCATATATATATATTATTGAAAAAATATGCCACAATATACGACTGCTCACATTCAAAAAAACACATGACAAAATATAAGACAACTCACATATGAAAAATCAAAACACATGCCACAATATAAGACAACTCAAATATTGAAAAACACATGCCACGATATCAAACAACACAGATATATATTTAAAAAAAAATGCCACAACAAAAGACAACTCACTTATCCAAAAAACATCCAAAAAACACATGTCACAATATAAGACAGCTCACATATTAAAAAAAAACATGCCACAATATCAGACAACTCATATATATATAATATTTATATACTACTAAAAAAAACATGCCACACTATAAAACAACTCACAAAAAAAAACAAAACACATGTCACAATATAAGACAACTCACATATGAAAAAAAACATGCGACAATATAAGGTTGCCATTTGGAGGTCACCGGAAAACTAAAACATCTCCCGGAGCATCCTTGAGATCCGCACAGGGTCAGGGCATTGGAGCAAATCTCCTGAAGTTCCGCCTGGCAACGGCCATCCCAATCAGACTCAAAGAATTTACCCTGTGGCAAACTAATACAATAAATCACCACGATTCATAGGTAAATCAACTATAAATGATTATGGACCATGTTCAATAGCTATGTTAAATTACCAGAGGGTAAATAAACATGATTGAGGACCCCTTTTTTGTTCATTTTTTTCAGTCCCATCGACTCCTAAAGTCCCATCGACGCCTCCATCTTGGATCGATAACCTCCGGCCAACGAGGCATATGCTTCCTTAGCCGGCCCTTTTTTGCACCATGCTTGTGCCATGATGTTAGACTTGCACCATGCTTGAGCTCTGGTGTCATTCTCGTCCAGTATAACAACAACATCTTTAATTCCAGTATCCAGTTGCTGGGATTCATTCTAACCAACCAGGAGGCAGAAGGGACGACTCAGGGTTCAAACATGTTCAAACTCAAAGTCACCTGACAGGGTTTTCTCCCCGTTCCGATATCGTACAGCAAAACCCCACTACTGACCATCGCTTCCACTAGGAAACTTTCGTGATATCCGCACATTTCGCACAATCTGTTGCTGCGCGTTGCCCTGGTTTGAATGCAACAACACCATGCATGATTTACTTATCTCTATCTCTCTCTCTCTCTCTCTCTCTTGGTGGCTTGTGGTTTTCAATAGCATGTGAGTCACTACCAAAGGGTAAAGCGTACCACTAAGGGGGTTCACCACACACTTAGACGGTCCATGGAATTAACTAACTAGTTGTTGAGTGGATTATTGACCCACTATATCCCAATTTTCAAATCCATCTACTTAACCCAAACTTCCAGAGAGCTCACAGCATCTCCAGCCCACTGGCATCGAACTGAAAGCCACGCGTCTCGTCCCTCGGAGAGCTCCATCTGTTCCACGCCGGCCGCCACACGCACGGCGTGACGCCGCTCTGTCAAGGAGTTCTTGAAGGCGGCGGAGAACATGTCGCGCTCCTGTCACGGCGTGGCGCGGCTAGGGTTGAAACCAAAGTCATGGAGAATTCACGGATAACTATTGGAGAATTGATGGGATAGTGGTTCACCACAATCAGCGCCATGAAATCTGAAGAGAAATTGAGCATGTAACAAAATTTAATGCATTCATTTTAGATCTGAAACCTGAATATGTAAAATCGGCATGATTCAATTTGAATAATAATTTCACCTTCTCAAAGCCTGAATGAATACCAAGAAATATAAATTGCTTACTGCTTACCCGATCATTGCAATTCTACCTGTGATGTGATGATGTTGTTTTTTTTTTCAGGGTCTGGTCTTGGCTGTTCTAGCTTGTGATAAATCATCAAAACTGAATCAAAACCAAAACCAATATCCAGTATGAGTCAGTATGAGCGACCATTTTCACAAAAAAACAATCTGATCTGCTCAGTCATCTTAATTCCTGACCGCCGTCCTCTGGATTCAGCGCAGAACCTACCTGAACCTTGGTTGCCATGGGAGTTTCGGACTTGCTGGTAATGCCACGCCATCCCACATACTTGCCATTCCATGCCAGACTTGCCAGAAACAATGCATGACAATGCATGCACAACTAATAATGGGTGAACCCACGTGAAAACCATCCACAACCAATGTCACCAGAAATGGGCGGTAAACATCATCCCCTATCATTGGGTTTATACCATCACCATGGACAGAAAACGCAACATGAAGCGATTGACACCGCAAGCCGTGATTGCTGTCAAAACAAATAACAATCGAGTGCTTAGCAATATGATAGGAAAATTGCCTCCGCACAGAGCCAAAACTGCGGCCAGTATGGAGTCTATATGGAAGGCAAACAAACGACCAATGGCAGGAGAATGCCTGCCTTTCAGTCTAGCTAGCCCCGATGGAATCGCCTGATCCAGAAGTCTCCAACATCTCAATGATCATCACCCCACCGTTTCAAAAAACACATCTCAATTGCAGCAGATTCACTCAAAAATGGTATCCCCATGTATCCCCATATGTTTGGCATGTTCTATAGCAACCCCCAAATAGATAGAACAGTTGGAACATGTTGGAAAACCTGGACATCATGGTGGAAAAATCATATACAACATCCTGGATCTAGGCTTTTCTATCATTTTTGTCCACCTGGATCGAGGCTTTTCCTCAATTCCACCTGGCCCAGCCACGCGTTGCTTCATGAAATCCGCCATCTCATCGTAGCGTTCGGCGCGCTCCGCCACACGCGCTAAGGTCACCAAGACCGTCTCATCCATGGCGCCCGTCTCGGAGCGGGTGAGCTGGGCCGTTGCACACCGTCTACCGCCGCTGAGCCAAAACGGGATGACGGGATTGGCTTCAAAATCCTGTCCCAAACTGGCCGATTGCCAGTATTATAGTATGGATATCTTTTGATATCTTGGGTTACTATATCCAGCATGGGGTCCTTTCACCAAAACAAATGAGCTGACAAGGATTGGATTGTATAAGGATATATACATATATACATGTGTAAATATATATATATATATATATACTTATACATATGTTCATGTAAGTTGAGGACAACGGCACCTCATTCCATCCTCTTCGAAGTGGATGGAAGTAACGACCCCACACTCCGAATCCTGCCACAGCCCAAACCCAAAACCATCGCACCAAGCCATCCACGCCGTAGATGTGCTGATCATCGAAGCCCAAGGTGGCCAAAATGTCGGCTCCTTAAAGCATAGATGTTGGCGGAATTTACTTCACCAAGCCCAAACAATCCTGAAATGTTGGGTGATTTGCGATGGTTCTCAATACATCTGTTGTTATGATATTATATATATAAATCAATTAATATATATATAAATAATATGAAATGATATTAAATATATATATATATAATAAAATATAATATAATATAATATATATATATATATATATGTTCTATATAATATCTGAACGTTTGGTGGCAAATCTCAATCTCTATCCCAGCCAGCCATTTTTTGAAAAAAAACATGACCCCAATTTATCTGAAAAACGGCTGGGATCCATGAAACCGATCTAACCAAAATTGAGGAGACTTACAATACATGATCATAATTTATATATATATATGTATTATATATATAGTTATATCTGTAGAGAGAGCGAGAGAGACATAGATATATAGATAATTGATAGATATATAGATATAATTATAGATATATAGATAAAATTATATAGATAGATATATATATATATATAATTATAGATATATAGATATAATTATAGATCTATAGATATAATTATAGATATATATATATAATTATATATATATAGATATAATCATAGATATATAGATATAATTGTAGATCTATAGATATAATTGTAGATATAGATATAATTAATTATAGATAAAGCAAACGGCACCTTTGTTACTAAAAGCAACAGACATGAGTAGATCAGTGGGCGTCATTGGCTTTCTCTCACCCTTGAAGGCCTGTGGGAAGTCCCTGCTGGGAAAATTAGTTCCATCCAACGTGCCAGAATGGTTTGTCGGATGTATTCAAAATATGTTAAGTTTTTTTTACATTTATATATATATTTATTTATTTATTCATTTATTTATTTATTCATACATAAGATCATGATTACCCACCAGTAAAATCACATAACCATGGGACATCACCATGATGAGTAGGTAAATCAATGGAACATATTCCCTTCGTGATCTTTGTCGACGGCGAGGATCTGGATTTCACCTTGTCCAGCGCAGATGAGCCGTACAGGCTCATCTTCTCCTGGTGGCAGAAGTTGCTCCGCATGGAGCCTAAGCCTAGAACCAAAAGAGCCTGGAATTTACAACCCAGGAACTGCAAGTGGTAAAACAAAAAAAAACGTAACCGTAAACTACACCAATTTGTGCATATCACGGTTCTCACACGGTGATGAAACATGACTAAACCAAGAACCATCATATGGTAAGTGGTCACCAAACGTGGTTAAACAACCGTAACCAAATGATACACAGGTCACCCAGAAATCGGTGTTACATCAATCGCCAAAGCCATGCATGTGCCTTTTCTGGTGACCCTGTAAAACAAACTTAGCAAAGTCCTTTGATATCACTCAGCAAGTTTCCTATCACTAGCCCTCTGTTTGCTTGTTTCCTATCACCCCCAAACATCCAAGGTAGATAAAAAATGGGTCTAAGCATGCCAAGGAATTCATGCACGACAGATTGTTTGCCGGCTGCCAATTGCGAAGTACAGTACATGTAAATGATTTCACTTGTGTGGGAGGTTGGCTCGTTTTTGCCTTCATTTCCCTTGAAAACCTGGGATGATGACCCCCACTTTCATACTTTTCAGATGATCGACCGCTGAGCCACTTTTGTTGGCTGCGGGGATTCCTCTTGCGACATGACAACCCGCCGAAGTGTCTACAATGAGTAGAGACATGTGTCAAGATTCGACTCAATTCCATTCTATGGATGTTTGCTTTACATAAATGATAGAGTGAACCTTTATTTCCGAATCAAGCCCCTCCTTCTTGATTGAAACACACGTGTATCAAGACCTCTTCAACTGATGACTTGTATTGCCATCAACAAAAACCTTCAAAATCGCCCATGAGAAAGAGAAAACTCGTCTTCCAGTCTTCCAGTCTATCATTCCATTATACTGGTTGGTTTATAGGGATTCCCCTATTGGATTATTATAATCACCAATATATTCGGTAGTATAATCCCCTATAATCCCCATTTGGATCCATTTGGGGTCTATCTTATTGGAGGATTGCTGCAGCGATGCAAACAGCTTCCCCCTCCAGCCTTGCCGTGCTCTTCCGCCTGAAAATGGCAGAGACTGGTGAAAGCCGCAGGTTATAAATCAAGCTAGGCATCTGTTTGTAGTCAATAAATGTCATAATTATATATGTATATTTAAATACAAATAAAATATCATATTTAATATAACATATAACATATATATATATATACACATATGCAAACCATAGATATATACACTGTAGCAAATGCACATGTAGTTGTCCACCTAAAGTTGCTAGAGGGTCCAACATGCAGAAACAATACCACCGTCCAAATTAAAGACCCTGGGGATCCAGTCGTGATCTCCGAGGATTGGGGAAAGCAACCCGCCCTCGATCCAATTGGCACCTGTTCAGCAAATTTCTTTCTTCGTTGCTGTTCCTGTCACGAAAAAACATGTAGAAACTAACCTTGCAATGACCATGGACACTTGCATTGAAACAATGGACCAAACGTTAAACGATACCACATATTTTTGCTGATGTTCTTTAGTCAGCAGCATGGTATGGACCAAACTAAATAGGTCGTAGATCTTACATATGATGTAGTGTGTATATAAAATATGTAACGTAGGAGGGTCTTTTCTCCTGTGATAGCCATCCAAGAATGGATCTGGTCAAGCAAAAGCCGTGCCACGCTTCAGTGAAGGATGCATGATATTAAAACAATCTTGAAAAACAATCTGTCACATTCTGTCACTAAACCATGATATTGAAACAACCATGGTGACTTGGGGATCCCCCATGACTTAGGAAACATCCAACTGAAACTGACTATGGCTGATAAGTTTCCCTACTATGGGTTAGTTCATAATCCCCAATACCCCAGGTAGCAAAACTCCCTGTAACAACCAATCAAACATCAATTATCTTATCGACTATATAAACATACATATATATATATATATCCCATTATATCGCCATATGTTTGATACTGAACCAATGTTAACCAATGTTAACCAATGTTAACCAATGTTAACCAATGTTAACCTATGTTAACCAATGTTAACCAATGTTCAACCCAAATATAAAACCCTATAATTCATGGTTAAATATCCATGAACCGCCAATAAAACACTTGCCTTTCCCCTGCACGACGTCCTCTGGTTTGGGTTCTGGTGGCCCGGGTGGCCGCAGGGAAAGCTCCGGGGGTGGCGGCCCTAGTCCGTCCCATTTCCTCAACGCTGTGGAAAACTTCAATGGTTGAAGGGGTTAAGCTCCAATTTTGAAATGGAAAATCATGGGACGATTTAGGACACCGGAAAATCATGAGAACACATGGGAATATTCGAACCATAAACGGAGATTCTAAGGGAAACATCGAACTAAATGGTGGGTGTTCCACTGCCATCTGATTAACGAAGGGTAATATCCAGTGAGGTTTATCATTATGGTTATTATGGTTACACACCAGTAGAACTTATTGTGGCTGTATAAGTTTAATGGTGGTTTTATGGTTTTCAACCACTGCTCCGTAGCTAAATATATAATATATACACAACATAAAACAGTCATGTATAGTTATAGTTATATCAAAGCTGCGTATATCCCATACATACTGATTTTACTATAATATGGTTATCAACCACATTGTTAATATGTCTGCATGTTGATATTTCACTAACCTGAGAAATAAGGACATTTGGGGATAGTTACCCCTACTAACCATGATTCCAGGGTTCGGTCGCAGTGAAGTTGTGAAAATGCATCCAGGTTACTGGATCATGCTATGCTCCTGTCTGCCACAGGCCCTCTGCTGATGTTGGCCTATGGATATCCTCCATCTTCCAACTATAGATGAATTCGTTGGCCACCAGCCATTCGCTAATCAATTCCGCTTCAAGTCTCATCGGGCTTCTGTTTCTTCCGTCAAATCCATTGATTTCCGCTTATTCAAACAATCAACAAATGATTTACACCACCAGCTGTCACTGAATTACTGTATCACACAAATTCAGCCGTAATCTACAAACGGAGCTTAATCCTTTTCTTTGTGCATCCACTGCTTAGCGGGCTAAACGCTCAATGGATGTGATCGATCTATCTATCTACCTACCTATCCATCCATCCATCCATCTATCTATCTATCTATATAATCCATCTTATCTATCTTATCTAGCTTTTCCATCTTATCCGTCTTATCCATCTTATCCATCTTATCCATCTTATCTATCTTATCTATCTTATCTGTCTTATCTGTCTTATCTGTCTTATCTGTCTTGTCTGTCTTTTCTATATTATCTATATTATCTATCTTGTCTATCTTATCTATCTTATCTATCTTATCTATCCGATCTATCTGATCTATCTGATCTATCTAATCTATCTGATCTATCTAATCTATCTAATCTATCAAATCTATCAAATCTATCAAATCTATCAAATCTATCTAATCTATCTAATCTATCTACTCTATCGAATCTATCTAGTCTATCTAATCTATCCAGTCTATCTAATCGATCTAATCGATCTAATCGACCTAATCGATCTGATCGATCTAATCGATCTAATCGATCTAATCGATCTAATCGATCTAATCTATCTAGTCTATCTAGTCTATCTAGTCTATCTAGTCTATCTAGTCTATCTATTCTATCTATTCTATCTATTCTATCTGTTCTATATATTCTATCTATCCTATCTATTCCATCTATTCTATCTATCTATCTGTCTATCTATCTGTCTATCTATCTATCTATCTTTCTATCTATCTAATCCATCTTATCTATCTTATCTAGCTTCTCCATCTTATCTATCTATCTATCTATCTATCTAATCCATCTTATCTATCTTATCTAGCTTTTCCATCTTATCTATCTATCTATTCTATTCTAATCTAATCTAATCTAGTCTAATCTAGTCTAATCTAGTCTAATCCAACCTAATCTAATCTAATCTATCTATCTATCTATTTATCTAATCCATCTTATCTATCTTATCTAGCTTTTCCATCTTATCTATCTATCTATCTATTCTATTCTAATCTAATCTAGTCTAATCTAGTCTAATCTAGTCTAATCTAGTCTAATCCAATCTAATCTAATCTCATCTATCTATCTATTTATCTATCTATCTATCTATCTATCTATCTCTCTCTATTTCTTTGTTTGTTTATATATTATACACCCATCTATGAAACATGAAGCAAAATCATTTTTTTCGAGTAACGTGGTAAACCGGTAAGCCCAATAGTAAGCAATTCCCATGGTATACCCTCTGCAAATTTGAAATGGTAATTATATATATATATTGCAAAAGGCCATATCATTTAGATTTATTAAACAAAAAAAGCTATCAACATGGTGAAATTCAATTGCCATGTTGCATTACCAACGGGTAAATCAAAACATATTACCATCTGGTTATTTAACATAGCCATGGAAAATCACCATTTTTAATAGGTAAACCAATGTAAACCATCTATAAATGGGCCACTTTCCATGGCCATGTTAAATTAGTCATAACCAGATGGTAAAACCCGTCAAACTTGAATGTTTCTGGCGCCTGGCGCCAAGTCATCCAAGTCCAATCCAAGTCACAGGATGGTGTCAGTGATGCCCCATGTGACACCATTGTTCACCAAATGACCGCTGTAAGGCCTCGGTGCGGCGCTGCGCTTTCCGTGGATGTCACTGATGGATTTCTATGGATTTCTGATGATAAAACTGGGGGATGGGTGGATTTTGAAGTTTTCTTACTGGGGAAAATGATGTTTTATGTGTGTATATATATAATATGTTTATCATCAAAGGAAGTTGGGAAGCAATACTTCCGTGTTACGGACAAATAGAATTCTGCGACGTGAAATGATGCAGGGTGGTAGATCACATAACAATACATAACATAACAATACATAACAAAAGAATAAGAAGCAGTGGAATTGACTTTGATGAAGGGTGGTGATAATGACGGGTGGTGACGAAGGGAAGTGGTGACGAAGGGAAGTGATGATGAAGGGGAGTGGTGACGAAGGGAAGTGGTGAAGAAGGGAAGTGGTGACGAAGGGAAGTGGTGACGAAGGGAAGTGGTGACGATGGGAAGTGGTGACGAAGGGAAGTGATGATGAAGGGGAATGGTGAGGAAGGGAGGTGGGGACGATGGGAAGTGGTGAGGAAGGGAAGTAGTGAGGAAGGGAAGTGCTGACGATGGGAGGTGGTGACGATGGGAAGTGGTGACGATGGGAAGCGGTGAGGAAGGGAAGTGGTGAGTTGGGGAGGAAGCCGGAGCACGAAACCTTGTGTTTTTCAGTGTAAAGTGGCTGCAGCCGGCGATGAAAGGTACCTTGTCTGTGCGGCGGGTGCGGCTGCGGTCGTTTCTGTCGCGAATTGTTCCTCCTATGTGTTTTGCAACAATGGTTGTTTCTGTGTGCGTAGTTCTATGCGTTTTTCCTGAAGCTGTGGTTGCAGATCGCATTGGAATGGCTGCATGAATGTTGCATGGGCTATGTTTCGGGGAGGAAGCCGGAGCACGAAACCGTGCGTTTTTCCGTGTAAAGTGGCTGCAGGCGACAATGAAAGGTACCTCGTGTGTGCGACGGGTGCGGCTGGGGTCGGTTGGTCGTTTTTTTTTTTGCCGCAGTGTAACGGTGGCTTGAAGCTGCTTTGGGTGTGCTTGTGTGTGCGTAGTCATAGGGTGTTTTGGCATCTCCGGTTGCAGCTCGCATTGGAATGGCTGCATGATGTTGCATGGGCTATGTTTCGGGGAGGAATCCGGAGCACGAACCCGTGCGTTTTTCCGTGTAACGTGGCTGCAGGCGACGAGACCGCTGCTGTTTTTCGTTTTTCGGTTTTTTTTTGTGCCCAGTGAACGGTGGCTTGAAGCTGCTTTGGGTGTGCTTGTGTGTCGTAGTCATAGAGTGTTTGGCATCTCCGGTTGCAGCTCGCATTGGAATGGCTGCATGATGTTGCATGGGCTATGTTTTGGGGAGGAAGCCGGAGCACGAACCCGTGCGTTTTTCCGTGTAAATGGCTGCAGGCGACGATGAAAGGTACCTCGTGTGTGCGACGGGTGCGGCTGGGGTCGGTTGGTCGTTTTTTTTTTGCCGCAGTGCAACGGTGGCTTGAAGCTGCTTTGGGTGTGCTTGTGTGTGCGTAGTTATAGTGTGTTTTGGATTGTTTTGGAATCTCCGGTTGCAGATCGCATTGGAATGGCTGCATGATGTTGCATGGGCTATGTTTCGGGGAGGAAGCCGGAGCACGAAACAGTGTGTTTTTCCGTGTAAAGTGGCTGCAGGCGACGATGAAAGGTACCTCGTGTGTGCGACGGGTGCGGCTGGGGTCGGTTGGTCGTTTTTTTTTTGCCGCAGTGTAACGGTGGCTTGAAGCTGCTTTGGGTGTGCTTGTGTGTGCGTAGTTATAGGGTGTTTTGGAATCTCCGGTTGCAGCTCGCATTGGAATGGCTGCATGATGTTGCATGGGCTATGTTTTGGGGAGGAAGCCGGAGCACGAAACCGTGTGTTTTTCCGTGTAAAGTGGCTGCAGGCGACGATGAAAGGTACCTCGTGTGTGCGACGGGTGCGGCTGGGGTCGGTTGGTCGTTTTTTTTTTGCCGCAGTGTAACGGTGGCTTGAAGCTGCTTTGGGTGTGCTTGTGTGTGCGTAGTCATAGGGTGTTTTGGCATCTCCGGTTGCATTGGAATGGCTGCATGATGTTGCATGGGCTATGTTTTGGGGAGGAAGCCGGAGCACGAAACCGTGTGTTTTTCCGTGTAAAGTGGCTGCAGGCGACGATGAAAGGTACCTCGTGTGTGCGACGGGTGCGGCTGCGGTCGTTCCGGACGCGATTGGTTCCTTCTATGTGTTTTGCAACAAGTGGGTGTTCCTGTGGTGTAGTTCTATGTGTTTCCTGAAGCTGTGGTTGCAGATCGCATTGTAATGGCTGCATGAATGTTGCATGGGCTATGTTTTGGGGAGGAAGCCGGAGCACGAAACCGTGTGTTTTTCCGTGTAAAGTGGCTGCAGGCGACGATGAAAGGTACCTCGTGTGTGCGACGGGTGCGGCTGGGGTCGGTTGGTCGGTTTTTTTTGCCGCAGTGTAACGGTGGCTTGAAGCTGCTTTGGGTGTGCTTGTGTGTGTGTGTGCGTAGTTATAGTGTGTTTTGGATTGTTTTGGAATCTCCGGTTGCAGATCGCATTGGAATGGCTGCATGATGTTGCATGGGCTATGTTTTGGGGAGGAAGCCGGAGCACGAAACCGTGGGTTTTTCGAGGAGCGCAGGACTATTGGTTTGGGTTACTTCAAATATGGACTCTGCGCTGGTTGTTTCGAAGCCTTGACAACTGTTTGCACGGAACAAGACGATACCTTGGCAGAACAGCGCTGCGTTGCCCTGACAGATGATGGTGTGCACGCTGCGGCCATGTTGTTGAGTGCTTACCGAGCAGGTGCAGGATGTCGTTTGTCGCAAGCAGATGCAGCTTGGGTCCGCAATGTCATTGCGGATAGTGAGAACTTCTTGCCTGATTTGCTTCGTGAAGTGCCATGACGGCCAACCAGGCTTCCAACGTGATAAGCTCTCCAGCCTTTCGTGCCAGTGCGGGCCGAAAAGCTGCCAAAAGCCTAGACGACCAAGTGTAGCGCAGAGAAAAAAGCAGCTGTCGAGCTTGGACTGCGTGAATCTCCTTGACAGGTAACAACTACACCATGTTCACACTTGCCGTTGCGATTTGATGCAATGCATCAACGCTTGGCATTAATGACCTCAATGTTGTAAATATTTTATGGTCTACGCCTTTTGGCCTGTAGAAGAATCAACATGAGTTACGCTCAACCTTGCTGACGTGCAGAAGCGCCGAGAAGAGCTCAGATGAGATGAAGTGTGGAGTGTGAAGAGTAAAGTGTGAAGTGTGGGGCGTGAAGAGTGCAGTATGAAGTGTGAAGTGTGGAGTGTGAAGAAAGCAATGAGAAGTGAGAAGTGTGAAGTGTGGACTGTGAAGTGTGAAGTGTGGAGTGTGAAGTGTGGATTGGGGAGAGTGCAGTGTGAAGTGAGAAGTGTGAAGTGTTGACTGCGAAGGGTGCGGTGTGAAGTGTGAAGACTGTCAAGTGTGAAGTGTGACGTGGGGCTTCAAGTGTGACATGTGAAACACGACATCAGTTTCGCAGAGTGCACGCACGCACGGGCTTGGCTGGCGCACGGCGCATGCAAGTTCTATAGATGAGAAAGGTCTTATATATATCTTTAAGGCAACTTCCGCCCCGCCTCGTGCGGGTACTACTGGTAGGAACATATAGGAACATATAGGAACCCCATGTGATGAGACACACCCTGAAAATCGGATGCGGCCCAGAAGATGATTCTGAGGAAATGAAGCTCACCCAGCTGAAGTGTTGGATTTTTCATAAAACTTTGGGGGCGAAATCCATTGAAATCCCCTACTAAACGTCATTTATTAGCGATTGGAACTTGCAGAATATCCAGGAATCAACCAATGTTGTGGAGCCAATATCCACCTACACTTGGAGATCATTCCATATTCGGGGCTCCTTAGCATCAGGGTTGGGAGAAAAAGCAAGCACCCAACTGCCAATATCAGCCGCTCCATTTGAATTCTAGACCCAACCACCCAGAAAAATAAACATCAGCATCACACAAGCTCTATTTCTCTTGTATGTGTGTGATGCACGTCCATTTTTGCCGCTTCACCGAAAGCCATGTGAGATACTCATCGTCTGAAGAGTCCTGTGGATTTTCGGTTTTGTCGGGCTCAGGAGGTTCACTCGCTGGCAGATCGAACCTTGGAGGTGTTTTTCACCGCTAAGGCTCGACTGAAACAAACAAAACAGGAAGCTTCAGATACAACCGAAGTAGAGAAAAATAGAGAAAGTAGGGCTTTACCATGTTTAACCACTATATTGATGGTTTAACTAACGGTTTAACTACTATAATTAGTTTTGCTCCGGCTCTCAGGTAGTTATAACTTATGACATCGGAATGGCTAGTTCACCCCATTCAACCATGTGTACTGTATACTTCATCAGAACTTCCATGGGAATTTAACATTTCACAGCTGGGAGACCGAGTTATATGTTTATTTGTAGTTTTGAATCTACATCGAAACGTGGGCTTTCTTGCACCAGCTCCCAGTACAGTGGGAACTCGTTGACAAACAATAAGGTGGTCCCAAATATGTTGGTTAAAAAGCCCCAATAGCCAGTAACCATAGAAAAAACAAAAAACTGCCATCAGTGAACAATAGCTCAATAGCCACAGTTAACTATTTTTTGGATCCAAAAAATCCATCCCATGTTGCGAAAAAGCTTCAGGTAGGACTGGCTGGGGTCATCCCCTTCTGGATGCTGTGCATCCAGCTGGATCCCTTCAGAATCGAAGATGGAGCACAGCTGACGGGCCAGGATGGGATGCGTGGCCTTTGCACATCGCCAAACCTAGGGATATTTTGTGACCAAATGTAGATTCCAAAGCGGTAAATTGACCAAGGGAAAAGGATGGAAAAGGAATTTCAGGCAACATCTTCAGTCAATCTCAAGTTTTGAGAGGTTGGTACAAACAGCCTTTAACCAAGTGGTCACCCAAGGAGTGAGCAAGAACATACGGGGGCCGTTTCAAAAAACGGAAGATGAACGCCTAGAGGAATAAATCCTGGTTCATTTTTTCCCCACTGATGGGGGCAAGGACGGAGTGTCACTTTCGGTTTTTCTATCATAACACATGTTCTAGATGAGTTCGAACATTTCCCCAACATGACTTAGGGTCATATTATTTCACTGTAAGATGAGTTCCCAAACGAAGCATCCCCATTTGATAATGTGCTTTGATGGGGGGAACTATTCTTTTTTTACGATATAACATCTTTCATGGAGTAGCGATGCAATGCGCATCTTGGATTTTCATGTGCTTCATTGTTTTGAATATGCTTCATTGGGTTTTCATGTGCTTCATTGTTGTTGTACACTGGATGCTTGCTAATCTTGCTAGCAACCACTCCCAAACTATAGTCGTTGTTGGTCGACCCCTGTCTGTTTTAATTACAGTGTTGATACACCACAGTTTGCTGGACTTTAAACCCAATATGTTGTACTCAGTTCTTGATTCTCCGCAGTCTCTAGCCATGTTTTGTCGCAAAATCAGATTAAACAAATCCATGAAGTTCCACAGCGTCTGTCAAGGGACTGCAGCAGCATTCCACTCGTTGCAGAAATTCTGGGTCACCGCAATGGTGTCCTTACATGGTGGCCCAAGGTGGTCATCAAACACAGCTGAGAAAGCCCAGCTGTAAATAGAAGAAATGGAAAGAAACATCTCCAATTAATGGCTAGCTTGGATTGCTGGAGAGTACTTCCATCCTTGTATTTATTTTATTACACATGACATCCCCAAAGAAATATTTCAGGAATTCTCTAACCTTTTCTTTGGGGGGTAGGCAATTTATAAGGGGGAACGGATAATTTACCAACCCTGGGGTAAAGTCAGGCTCCGTGGCACCAATCTGGGTTTTCATCTTTGCGATTCATTACGTTGTGTTAGTGCCTGTGGTTCACCAGAATCCATGATGTCCTTTTCAAAAAAAAAAGAAGGGACGGACAAATGTCCGTTTGATACCACTGACTCAGAATGGAGGTTGCAAAACATGTGGGGAGGCCCCCACTGATCAAGCAACCAATGGGACAAGGATCATGCATGAACAGTATTTGGTGACATTAGCGTGAACTGGATAAAATGATTGATTTGCAGCAATCTGAAATGACACAACCTGCTTGAAAGCCACTGAAGCCTTGGAAAACCATGGGACACTGAGGGACCGAGGGGCCCAATGCCCTCATGTTTTGTCCCCCAAAAAAGGTGCACATCTGCGAACAAAATGCCGGTCCCATCCCGAGGCAAAGAACTGAGGCAAGTCAATCATTTCAAGAAGGGATGGACACTAAGACATGATTAATACCACCAAACAACCATTGAAACAGAATAATTATAGATCGTTCGCTGACCAGGAGTTCAGCTGAGCTAAAGGTGCGACGTAATTAGACCAAGTATCTTGCCTATATTGCATACGTATGTTTATGATGTGTTTATGTTTTATATTATATATCTACAAAGCTTTCCAACCCACCTCCCCCATCTCCCAGCGAAAGTCCTCCAAGTTCAGTACCGCATGCCACCAGCGAGCAGGAACAAACACAATCTCACCAGGCTCCTGAATGAACCTCGAGCAGCACAAGGGGATGGAGGGTTGCAACGCGGGGTAAACCATGGCACCATCCAGAAATATCATGGATGTATTTTTAGATTTGCTGATCCTGGTCTCATTGATCCTTTTCTTATTGATCTGTCTATTTAATTGATCTTTAGTTTTGATTTCGATATTTCATGAATTCTTATCCGTCTGATCCCTTCTCATTGATCCTTCTCTTCGACAGGCCTTATCATTCTTGATCAAAAGAGTAAGAATCATAGGGCTTTGTCGGCTTTGTCTACAAATAATCCCCAAATTGTCATGGTTATATAATCAGTCAATCACCATTCCTTTTCCCTATATCATGAGCATTAACAAAAACAATCCCCCATGAACTGCTCTGCACCAACGAAAACGTCCCGAGGCCCACATGAGGCTTTTTTCACGGCTTCAACACCTATTGGATGTGATCGGAGTTATTCAAAAACCAACTATCAAGTGGCAAAGTGAAGTTGATCTCCTCATTAAGGAAATCCCATTCATATCCCATTCATATCCCCATTTCGTTCATTCCGAAGCCAGTGACTCAATGGCTTCCAACGGCCACTCCTCTCGTTTTCGGCGCCACCAAAGCAGAAACCAGGCCGCCGCGGAGTCGGCTGCCACCTCCGGCCTTGGAAAATCTGCAGAGCATCGTTCTTCAGGAAAGAAACACCATGTAACACCCCAGCAAAAACATAAGAAAAACTGGGTTTATGGGAAGTTTATGGAAGTTTATCATGATTCTAGGATATTTTTTTTGGATTGGATATTGTTCTTTTCTATTTTTTTTGGGGGGGTGTGGTCGTCAAAGAGTGGGGTGGTGGGAACCCTGGTATTTACTGGATTGATTGAACAAACAGCTTACCAGGAACTCATTGTGTTTTACAGAACGCAGGACTGTTCGTTTCATCGAAACTATCTTGAAACAATTCCGGGACACACAAACACACACAGCTTGCTGGTGAAATCAATATGTCTCAAAGCTGATCATATTTGTGTGGGAAATCCGGTGCCTTGAATCAAAACTATCCCCAGCATGTGGTACAGTAATTAGGTTGAAGACCTCCCAAACACCACATCTTAGACGACACATGACTACACAGTATGTTGCATTCAATTTCTAGATAATTCTAGTATCACCCTTTCCCCCTAATAACATTCGTATGAACATCCTTTCCATTTAATTACTCCAGAATCGGCCACTGGGTGTGTATACGTTGCAGGAATTCAACTAACATGTAGACATGGAAAAACTAGGTAACGTCGTCCATTGCGGTCCCGCTGATTTTGCTGGTTTTGACAACAAGCATCTTGCTATTTCAACAACCCCTATGGCACTTTCTCTCACCATGGATTTTGCGCCATGTTCAAATGCCTTGCGTTTTACAGCACTTTGTGTCCATTCTGTGCTATTCACATTGGGTTTTACACGTCCACGTGCAAAACAGCGGAAAAAAAACATGTCTTACATCACATCAACGTCATTGCAGCCCCACCACAGACCCAACCCCATCTCTGGCGTAACATCACAACATGTCTTACATCACATCACAATGTCATTGCAGCCCCACCCCAGACCCAACCCCATGATCACGTGCATCGTACAAAAATGCATGAATTCCCCGGGGCCGTATTGGACGACGTCAGCAAAAACTAGCAGTTCTAGGGTAGATACTTTTCTGTGGGAACCCCTCGGTCTTCATATCAACTGTATTCAAGAATCTGGCACCCCCAGGATTATGATCATTTCCCTACTCGAGCATATATTAAAAGTGTTTCTTTGGGATGTATGGATGGGTATATCCAATTTTCCGACAGACCCGAAGCTGAGTACCTTAACTTCTCCGCAGGCGTGCCGGGCGGAAAGAGCACCCACAGTTTGCCTCGAAAATCCGCATATCAGGAGATCATTGTGTGGCAAATCCCTTGAACAAGATCAAAAAAGGGGTCGGAAAAGTATGTTCAAAAAGACCAAACCAAGCAACAACTTCCAGATTTACTGTTATCATGGACTGATGTTGAAACCATTCATATTGACTGGGATGATATGGACAAGATCACCTTGCAGTATACAACTGCGGTTCAACATGGTCTATGTCACGTAGATGTGGAAAATTGCCAATTTATAGGTGATTACCTACTAATTATAGAAAAAAACACATCTATGTTTGCTTACATGAGGGTAAGTCATATAGAACACATTTATGTCCATTTACTGTAGATGCTTACTTCTAGCAAGTCACCTTCCTTGGACATTTGCCTACTAGCAAAGTGACATGACATGGCGATGAACCAGCACCACCTTGAGTCGATAGATAAATCCAATGCAATCGCACGGATTTTTTATTGACATGCTCGGTAGCTTATACATTGATGTAATTATACCGATTGGCTCCCACCTGCTTTACATTGGGGAACAAACATGTTTGTTGATTTGCCTTTTATTTGTATGTTTTGTCTGTGGGAGGCCTGCCCTTGCTCCACTTCCATCATGTTGGTCTGCCAGAAACATGACGAATCCCGGTAAGACACTCCAAGTAACCATCAAAAAACTGGTATCAAAACTCATGTGCCTTTTCAGTATGGGAAGTGAAGTATTGTCGAACATGGACTTCCATATTTACCCTCTCGTAATTTAACATAGCTATTGCAAACCATTGATAGTGAGTTTTCCCATTAAAAATGGTGATTTTCCATAGTTATGTTAGTTTACCAGAGGGTATATAGGCTTCACATGGGCTCACTATTGGTCCGTTCTCCCCAGATATCGCGGTCTCCAAAAGAAAGACCCAATGCCATTGAGGGACGGCCCGAGATCAAAGCATTCCAGGCACTGGTTCCAAGTGGATCCTGCAAGGTAACAAGGGGGCACCAATCATTGTAACTAACCAAAATTCCCCCCTAATGTTAAAACATTTTTTAAATAATGTATATATATATATATATATCATTATTTATATACTTATTATAATGAATAAATTGAAAAAACACATATTCAATTATTATATGATATACACATATGTTTTTATATAGAGATAAATCCCCTGATTCTTTTTGGTTCAGCCCAGTAAGTGCCAGTCAGAAACCCAGTTCTAGGCAGGGCGAGTATAGAACTTAGAAAACACAGAATTGGACACATTAGAAGCGAGGAGACAGAAACTTCCGTTTAGAGTTTAGACATATTGAAGAAGCCTTGGAAACCGTTAAACTGTGGTTCAGTGTTGCAATATGCTGGAAGCTGTTGGAACTATCTATGAATTGGACACCAAACGTTTGGGATGGGATGATCGGAGGGCGGGGTTACCTACGTAAAGTAAGTATTTGGAGGCTTGTAACAAGTTGGTAAGTGGGGCTATAGCCTATAGTTATGCTTCAACTATATGGGACCACCCAACTAGCGGCATGATGAACCAAGCTTGTAAGCGAGTAAGTAACATGATCAGTGTATGACCCTCCAAGTAGACTAAGTAGATTGTACCTAAACATCTAAACTAATCTTAAACTACGAGTATGAGGTTTATGCACGTAAGGCCCCTTTTTGAGGGAATACTAACATACATTACACCATCCAATGCCTGGAATGATTGGAATGATAAAAATAAATGAGCCACTTCCAGGACCAAGATATTGTAAAATCAACGCGTAAAGTAGCAACATGATATTTTTGAAGGTTTTCTCAAAATGGGGGATCCCCAAGTCACTATGGGTTTCAATACTCAGTCATGGTCATGGTCCAATGACTTGAATGATTGGGGTGCCCCCCCCGTCACACGATGTGGGAAGGAAATGATGGCAAGGAATTGGACTCACCAGACAAATAAATAATTGGCCTAGTAAATCAAACTAGTTCTATGGAAAATTGATGAACTTGGCCCGTTAATAGATGATTTCTCTATCAAAAATGCTATATAAAAGTATATAATTAGTATACTGGATGGTAATCCTACGGTCCAACGCCGTCGTTTGCCCGGACTCGCAGTGATCATCATCATCATGATGTAATGATGAGGAACCATCGGGATACACCCCCCAAAACCCCCCCCGCCCTACATGGTAATGACATGTATCTTTCCAAAGGTCATGGGGAAGATGGTAAGCTTATAACCATACAGTTGATTTGGTCCAGTAGCTAATAGTTTTTCCATTGTGTGTCCTTCTGGTCCACTGTCCTCACCCACTGCACCTCTCTGCACAAAGCCACAGCACAGCAAGTGAGTCGGTTTCGCTCGGCTGGCGTGAGCCAGTCTAAGAGGAGTTGCCACGCCCTCATACCCTGTTGAACCGCTATATATATATATATATGATTGTATTGCGGGACGGCTAAGCATGATGATCAATATTTCAACTTAGATGATCATGTGAGCATATCAACATGTTCCGATTGTTATAGTTATATGTTTCAACGTAGATGGTCATGTGATGCGGATCAACATGTTTCGATTCTTATAGAAACATATGTGTGGAAAAGGATGATTCATTAGGTGGTTGTGAAAGCAGAACACATATCCCTCATGTTGTGATTTAAATCTAATCCGGTTACAGCTTCCATGCTTTCATATTGGAATTGTTTTGGTATGATGTAGATGGAAAATGTATGATCATGTTATGCTGAGCCACATGTCATGATATGGATGTTAAGATACATGAACGTCTTGTAGATTCTTGGGCAAACGATGGTGTCAGCGCATAATCCTAGCCACATTCTTTCCCACATCTTCAACACCTTGTAAGCCAAATGAGCTCACCTTCGTCTGAAACAAATCTTGAAACGATTAAACTTCCCTGTGGTGAGGAGCACCTTGGAGAATAAGCGGGACGAATTCAATTGAGCAGCCCATTTCTGAGCATGTCTCAGCTTTCTCATCGAAATCGGCAGCGCACAGTGTATAGCAATTCATACCCAGCTTCTGGGTACAGAATCTGAATACCAAGGTAAATCCCAAAAATAATCTAATATAAGATTTTGTGGGCAACGTGTTGCTGCTCATTGGGATCATCATCCCAAATATGATTGTTTAACAGTAAAAAGCATGATTGAAACCAGCAGCCAAATCATCATCGCTACAAACATTAGGTCATCAGGTCACTGCTCACATCTCCTTCAAATTCTTAGCAGTTTTTCATATTTGTTCAATGCTTTAATTACCCATTCAAATCATGAAAATCCCCGTTAAATCCTTACGAAATCATGACTTTATAAATCTGGGTAAATTATAACATTTCAATGACCTGAAATAAGCCTCTTTGGGGGATGATTTCCCTTACTGATCATGATTCATCATGATTCCAGGGTTCGGTCGCAGTGAGGTCGTTATAATTTACCCACATAGATGATTGAAACAACCACCCAGCAGTGCCCAGCAGGTACTCCCCATCTGGGATCGCCTTGTGTAAGGTGCTCCCCGAGCGGCGTGGACCAATCAGCAGCCATCGATAGGGCGGTCGTAGCGGCCCCAGCAGCTCCAAGAGGTCCTGCTGAGCCATGGATTTCACCGTTTTCGAAGGGAAAATCCTGGAAAATCTGCAGGAAATCCAGGGAGACCATGGATTTTCCATGGGTTTTCACACCGAATACGTGTAAGATCTTGAAGTATTTATGGGTCGTGCAACCGTAAATCTTCAATAATGAAATCCAGTCCCCGTACCACAACAGGAGCAGTTAAAGGCAACGGCACATTGTTCTCCGTGGCATAGAAGAAGCCGGATGGACTTGCACCAACAGCTCGTTCAGCAGAGCGCTTTAGTGACAGAAAATGTGCAGTCCAAGTAGCAGTGTTATATATATATAATAATAATATATATATAATATATACATATATATATAATATATAAAATATATAATAATAATATAAAAAATAATATAATATTATATTTTATAATATAATAGAATATACAATATAATAAAACAAAATATAATAAAATATAATATAATATGATATAATATAATATGATATAATATAAAATAATATAATAGAATAAAATATAATATAATACAATATAAAATAAAATAATATAATATAATATAATAAACTATAATATAATATAATATAATATAATAGAATATAATATGTGTGTGTGTGATCTTTTGGGATCTCTCTCTTCCACCCTCCTTGATCTTGCTGAGATTCTTTGTTTTCCTACCAGAAAGACATTCTAAAATGGCAGGAGAGAATCCCCAACACCATTATCAGAAGAAACATCTCCGCTCTGGCTCTGGGGATATTTTCAGCCCATGCCCCATGTCTTGGGTGCCATCCCATCTGCCATGCCTTCCTATGTTGGCAGGTGATGGCCTTGAAGTCCCCATTCTTCCATACTCTCTCCATCCTGTTGTCTGTTCCAGAATTATCATGATTTATCGTCATGCTTCAGATATGAGAAGGAACATAATACTGTAGATCTACGATTTACGATCAAACATTGCTATATAATGAAAGTAAACATCACCAAAACACTGACATTACCTGAGGGTGCTTTATTCATTCATAGATCATAATCTTGCACTATATAATCACATGATATCACATGTAAACTCAAACGCCTTACTTACAGCCTCATCCTGAAATGGATGCTGCCACTATTCATCTCAGTCCTGGCCAAAGACGGGTGGCACACTGTAGTGCTTCAGCAATGCTCTGGTGGAAGGGTACTCCCCAAAGCAATGGTCGAACAAATAGAGCGGGGAATCGTCTTCCTGGCGCCGAAACAAAGGACTGGACGAGTCGGACTCAAAAAAAACAGAATTAAAAAACAAATGCCAATGAAAATAGGCAGTATGTGGCCCTCGTAATTTTAATATATCTTAATGTGTTGTTGGCATTGTCCATCATGATTGGCCCTTTGCGATGTCATTACGGGAATGATTAGCGTTTAATGCCACAAATGCTAGGCGCCTGCTTCTTCAAATAATCGATGAAATCATTCATCCGAAGCCGGATGCCAAAGCGATGATCGCAAATGATCTTCTGGTGTCCAAAATCCTCAGTGCGGCTTGAGGCTGAAATCCGTGCAGAACAAATGCCAACCCCTCTAAACTGATCAGAGATTGCAAGATTTTTGCAATGTCTAATTTTAGACGGAGTAAATCTACCGTACAGTAATTTAACCTTGCGATGGGAAATTTGTAATGTGTGGATGATATTGGATGATCATCTAAATAGGTTTTCCAGCCCACCATGTTTAATGATCAAACAGTAGACCTGTTCCCCCGGATGCCACTGACACACGGAGAGCACATCTCCAAAATAAATAATCGACTACAAGGACTCGGACATAGCCTGGATTTTACAGTAGTGGTCAAAGCATCAGCCGAGCACAAAATCATCAAACCACACACACCGTAGAATTTTTAATGATGTTTTCACCATGCATAACCCGTAGTAATAAAAAGAAAAACACGTTTGAAGCCTTTCCAGGTCTTCCAGGGCCCATGGTCGGAATCGATGGATATGGGGGTTTCCAAACATGGGGGTACCCCAAGTTGGGTTTCAATACTACAAAGGTCGAATGAGTTGTGGATTTAGCGTACCCTCATGACTTTGGAAACCTCCATATCTACCTCCACCAGGGAAAAGCGTCCTCTGCAAAGGCCGGCAACGTCCACAGCTTCATGGCTGGCCAGTCCGCCATCGCCCCGCAGAGCACCGCCGGCGTCGAAGGAGAGGCGTTGCCGGTGCGGGAGATGTTGCCGCGCACAGACTGGAAGATCTTGGAGAGATCCTTGGCAAAATATTGTGTATTGTTTGAAGCATCAAACCATGGAAAGACCTGGGCAGCAACAAGAAACTGCGTGTATTGTTTTAAGCATGGGAAATGGTGGTCTTACCAGCACATGTGGGATATAAGTCATAAAACATCATAAAACTACCATAAAAAAAGGACAAAAACTGTGGTTTTGCCAGGGCAAAAAAAAGATTTTGCAGTGAAACATGGAAGTGACCCTGTCCGAAAATGATGGACACCCATACACAAACACTAAGGGGGAACACCAGTGGGGAACACACAAGGTACTTTCACTTAATTAACGTACAAAGCATGGTGGATGCCTCAGTGGATTGCTTTTGAAAACATGGCTTTTGCGACCAACTGTAGGGTTTCTGCTTTTCCCATAGTGCAAAGCACCAGGATTTAAAACTGTTTGGCTTGGATAATTCCTAAGTAAAAAAGGGATCAAAAGGGAGGATCATGGCTGCCTTGTAGGCAGCAATGTACAATCCACTACGTCAAACACCAGGGATAGAAGTGTGATCCAGTACTACCTGATTACATCTGACAGGGCTCCAACGCCGCAAATTGCTGGTAGCTCCACTGCTCCAAAGTCCAGTGAGGCCTTCGAATTCTCTTGGCCCCATTGATCACCTCTCTTCACGGGTGATTCGCCCATGCCTAAATAACTGGTTGATTGTTGACCTCCCCTCTCAAAAATATGAGTTCGTCAGTTGGGATGATGAAATTCCCATAAATTCCCAATATATGTTTAAAAAAAAACTGTTCCAAACCACCAACCAGTCTTCTATCATGTAGATAATCAAGTGGCTTTGGGATACAGTTTGCAGGTAGCTGCTGCTTTTTGGAATTGTTAGTGCGAATTCCAAATAGCTGCTTCGATGCATTTTGCATAGAATGGCCGATGAGTCGATGAGTTACACCGCATCCCAAATATTCCCGGCCACTAATGGCAACGTACCGGACGCATTCCTCACTAGGAAACTCATCCTGAACTCTCCTTGAATGCAAGACATGAACGCATCGGAAAAACGCTGATGGTTTATTGACATTCACTTGCTCTATTGGCATCCTCTTGATATTTCCCGCACTTGGATGTGGAGCCGAGTGATTTTTTTCCATCCTGCCTCCTATGCTCATCCCTGCACCCTTCCATCTACGAAAATAACGACTAGCAAAGGAAAATACGCTCAATTGATCACATTTGTAGATGGTTTATGTACCATTGGATATCGGGGTGTTGTCTTGCGGTTCTGATTTGGACATGATATAGGGATGATTCATGATGATTCCTTTGCCCCTACAACCGATCTTCCCATTCATTTGAAACAATTATATATATATATATACATAATACAATTCCAAAAACAAGGCAAATAAACACAACAAACTATTTCTCTCCACCTTGCTCATACTTCAAATAAAACATACTTTGGAGGAATCTTGAACTTATGTTACTTAGCAAGAACTTATAAATAAGTTATATCTAGATGCTATGTTAAGTCCATCGTAAGTTCATCGTAAGTTCATCATAAGTTTTAGTATGTTTTTTTAAAATGTTTTTGTTATTTCAGTTTTTTTTATGATTCCGCAGTTTTTTTGAAGGATGTGTGAATATGATTGTATCTTTGGCTATAGTTGACCCACGTAATCAGGGCCAATTTGCCATCTTCTCTTTTCCACTTAGGAAAGCGATGGTCTGATGCACTATGCCAATGGAGCGGTTGCACCAGCAAAAAAAACACTGCGCAGAAGCAACGCAGCCATGCACTTCAACCGAAGTAGTTTGAGAGATGCGCAGGTAGGTGCCGCGCGCAAATTCAACACATCCGACCTCGAGGCCTGTTGCAAACAATGCCGACTTGGGCATGCCAACTCTGTGGGCTGTCTCTGGGTCTTCACGTAGAACACCGAGCACTTCGCCCGTCCATCTTTCCTTTGGTTCAGGAATGGGTAGTTCCATGTCAGTAAGTGCAGCAGAACGCTCTTGGCGTAACCTTCCAATTTCGATATTTTGGGGCCAACATATCGTTTGAAGAGACGATGTTTTCGTTCACCCACGTAGCAATCAATGTGTCGTTGCCACCTTTGCATTTGCGCGGGAAGATGCATAGCATAATGAGCTTTGGGTCTCGTGTGCAAAGCGCCGTACGCTTCTTGGAAGCATTTCATGTGGTGTTGTTGCAAAGGCATCAATTGAGTACCATGGGCCACGTCAATTTCGCAGCGTTGTAAGCAACAAACCACATCGTACAAAGCGCCGAGAGATGCGCAGCAGCCGGTCAGGACTTGCCTGTCCTCCCAAAATTGCCGCTGCCAAATCCTCCGTCAGAAAATTGATTATCTGCGTGAAGTCTTGCATTGGCCTTCGCACTCCTCCTTCTTCTTCCCCATAGGAAGTCTTCTCCGCGACACGTAGTCGCAACTTTTCCCTCGCTTCCTCCGACCACAACTCCGGATCAAGTGCATCCAAGAAAATCCCAGCCTGAGCCGTACTCAGGTCCTTCACCTTGTCCAGGCAATGCAAAAGTCCTTTCAGTTGTTTAGTCTGGATGTCCTCGTAGGACGGAAGCGAACGAACCCCGCGCAGGAAGCGTTGCGCCGCTTCCAGCTGCTTCTCAACCGCAGCCATTGCTTCTCGAGCCAAAACTTGGCACACCCTACATTTTCAACTTGATTTTCACAACACAATCAAAACAACATGTTTTTTGCTCCACTTCGTAACTTCTGTAACTTCTTTCTATCTTCTTTATAACTTCGAAGAATTCTACTTATAACTTCCTCAACTATGATATAACTAACAAATTTTTACTTGAACTTACGATGAACTTACGAGCCTTATAACCTAAGTTAAAGCCCTTATAACTTATGTTATAGCAATGCTATACCCCCTCTAAGTTCAAGGCTCCTCCAAAGTAAACATTTGCTAAACTCAAAAGTTTAGCTATTTTCGGGATATCCACATCCAATTCCCATGATTTCCCCATCATAAAAACACATTCACATACATCAACTATATATTTAAGTCTACCATAACCCCATACGTCTCAACCAACTTCGCCAAAAATCTCGGCCCCGTCCCGGCCGTCCCGGTCCCCGCCCGCAACAGCCGTTCTTCCCAGGTCTGGGCCCGCTGCGGGCAGCGCTTCAGGCGCCGCCGATGCCGCGGCAGCTGCGCTTCAGCCTCCGCCAGCTCCGCTGCGACGGAGGTTCTCAGCAGCTCCGCTGGAAGCTGCTGATAGGCCGCGATGGCCTGAGGTGCCCTTCGAAAAATGTGGGAAAACCAGTAGAAAGCCGTTTCAATACATAGGTTATTTGATGGTTATAATCACTATTTTATGTTTTTGTATGGTTATAATTATAATCACAATAAAGCCTGAGTGGACCTACTTAGAGGTGGCTAGCGGTTAATGGCAAATAAGGGTGGTCAAAACAGCAAATGCGAATGAGGGGCGCCACTTTGTAGCTCATGGATGTGTTTCGTTGGATCAACAAGACACAAACGCCGCAGTAATCCGGATCTGAACCAATACCAGCAAATACAAAAAGGTGAATGTAAGAAAGTTGGCAAGAAGTGCGTGCAAAAAGAACAGAACAATTGAATACAATTGACACAAAAGAATAGAAACATGACAATGGAGAAACAATTAACATGGTGCAGTGCAAACTATGCCAAAAACAGGGGTCTTGTGCATCGCCTTCACATTTATTGGGATGATTGGCAAGTGCCAAACGCAAAGAACCGCGATAGATGCTTCAGCAACAACCTTTTCGGGATGCTTAAAGGTCAAACAATTCAAGTGTCACAAACCTAGCCCCAAACCTCTTCATTTTTTGTACGCGACAGATCAAATCTCTCCAAAGGTTCATATCAAAACTGGCCATCCCTGCAGCAGCGTTGAACCCAGGCTCCCCAGGAATATCCAAGGTGGTTCTCAAGGCGCGCGCCAGCGTCAATGTGGCATCCTCCTTGGGACCAGGGTCTGCATGTGTTCTTCCGTTGGAATAACTGGTGGGTTAAAATCACCTGGAAAATTGCTATGCTTTCCATAGTATCCAGGTGATACCCTATTAGATTATCCATAATATCCTGTTATTTATCCTGTTGACTGCACAATATCCAGAAAATTATGATATTCCGAATCGGAGATACCACGGGATACCCTATATCCAAAAACCGAACGAGGTATTGGTCACTGATCACATGATACTTGATTGTTGTTTTCCAGCCACACAAAAACAATGGCATAGCAGGACCCCTCTATAAAACCGTATATAAACCCATCATTGGAATTGGACTGCGTATGTTGCCAGAAAACCAAAAAACAACATTGTCAAGTGGCGCAACACATCTGTGATACTTTGGTGAAGGTCGTATTCATATATATTTCGCAAACTCCCAAATACATAGAAAAGGTAAATCCTACCAGACTAGTCGTAGAGATATCTGTTTCCAAACAAATTATTCCCCCAATCATTGTCCCAATACAGAATATCCCCCTAAATCATGATCAATCCATATTAAATCCCCATAAATCCCTATTAAATTGTTGTAGAAATCTATTGGTTTCCCAACTTGTTGAGTTATTTCGCAGCTCAAAGCAAGGCGCCAGCGTCAAAGTTTCACCAGGAGATAAGCGCACTGCCTGCCTGGGGCACTAGAAGAAATCCAGATCAGTATTTCCGGAAACCATAGGAAACCATAGGAACATGATGATTTAACCACCAAAAATTGTGAGATTTTTTTCCCCACCTGCCAGGTGAGGGTTGTTAGATTTTATGTCAGTTGCCTCCTCCTCCTTCTCCTCCTCCTGCTCCTCCTCCTGCTCCTCCTCTCCTCCTCCTCCTCGTCCTCCTCGTCGTCCTCGTCGTCCTCGTCGTCCTTGCTCAACTGCGACCCGCGATCCACAGTGTTCGCTGCCGGACCTCAACCACGACCATCCACGCCCAGTGTTCCCTGCCGGACCTCAACCACGACCATCCACGCCCAGTGTTCCCTGCCGGACCTCAACCACGACCATACACGCCCAGTGTTCCCTGCCGGACCTCAACCACGACCATCCGCGCCCAGTGTTCCCTGCCGGACCTCAACCGCGAGTATCCATGCCAAGTGTTCCCTTCCGGACCTCATGTAGGAATGTCAGATAGACTGCCAGATAGAATGCCAGATAGAATGTCAGATAGGATGCCAGATAGAATGCCAGATAGAATGCCAGAAAGAATGCCAGAAAGAATGCCAGATAGAATGCCAGATAGAATGTCAGATAGGATGCCAGATAGAATGCCAGATAGAATGCCCGAAAGAATGCCAGAAAGAATGCCAGATAGAATGCCAGATAGACTGCCAGATAGAATGTCAGATAGAATGTCAGAATATATGTCAGATATAATGCCAGATAGAATGCCAACATATATGCCAGAATATATGTCAGATAGAATGCCAAAATATATGTCAGATATAATGCCGGATAGAATGCCAGAATATATACCAGAATATATGTCAGATAGAATGCCAGAATATATGTCAGAATAAATGACAGGTAGAATGCCAGAATATATGTCAGATGAAATGTCAGAAAATATGTCAGGTAGAATGCCAGATAGACTGCCAGATAGAATGCCAGGTGGAATGTCAGGATATATGCCAGATAGAATGCCAGAATATATGCCAGAATATATGTCAGATAGGATGTCAGAATATACTAAATATATGTCCAAATATACGTCCTGACATGTCATGGTGGGGATCACACGAAGTAGAGTAATTGGTTGATTTATGATGGCCAAGTCGGTTTATAATGTGCTTAACGCTTGGGTTTAGGGAATATAACTATAGCTAACGGGGTTTTGAAAACATAATTTAGAATGTAAAGATGAGAAACTTGAAATCAACCATAAGTTTAGGGAATATAACTATAGCTAACGGGGTTTTGAAAACATAATTTAGAATGTAAAGATGAGAAACTTGAAATCAACCATAACTTTTTGGTGCCCTGGGCCTCCACCTATATATTCTATAATATCTCTCTTCCCATCATCTCAATAATATAATATGTATATGTATATATATTAATACATCATATAGTTATAAATATATATATAATGTTTTTTTCTTGCAGTTGCATTCTTTTTATATTCGTATATGTTACTGTTACTATGATGGGTCTTGTTTTGTGACCTATCTTGCGGTAGCCACGTTGTTTCAACGTTGAGACCATCAACACAGCGCTTGGTGATGCAACCGGGGGGGATCTTCGCCACCGATTCTTGGGGCTTCAGCTTGGGGACCGGTTGAGTCCCCGATTCTTGATCTTAGCTCCTGGTAAATATAGAAGTATAACTATACCTTAACTATACATAAGTACTGTTATATTATATGTATTAACTATACTTTAGCTACATGTCTATGGAAATGGCATTTTTTCAAGCAATAAACATGACCCATTTACAGTATAGAGAGAGAGAGAAACAAATGGCATCATTTGCCTGTCAAACATTGTGATTTTCGATAGCTATATCACCCGTTGATAGATAATTTGCCTATCACAAACAGTGATGTTCAACAGCTAGGTCCGATTACCACGATGTTATACTGGTATACTTAGCCTACTTATCCCAATATATCACTGGTTGGTGTTTTCAAACCCTCTGAAAAATTAGTCAGTTGGAATGATTATTCCCAACATATGGAAAAATAACAAAATGTTCCAAACCACCAACCAGATCAAATTATTTATATATATATATATATATCCCATGGTTGATACATAATCCTCATGTTTTTGTTGCTTCAATCCCAAGAATCTCCCACAAAAACTTCCCAATCGCGTTTCGCGGTACCTCGCTGCCGTCACCGCGCGATGGCCGGCGGCCACGGAGTCCGACATGAGTTCGCCTCATCGGGGAAAGTTGGTGGAATCTAAGGCAGAAAAGGTGGAACGTTCCATGATCACTTTGCATGCTTCGTTGTACTGAGTTTCTTGTTTTCGATGCTTTTCTGAAGTGCGATCATGGTGGTAAATCTAGAGCATAACAAACCCCAAGTGTATCATCGCTTGGGTATTAGCTTTAGTCTCAAGCATTTGTTGTAAAATAAGGGATGGTTAGATTACAATTTCGTATACCGTATACAGTATATACCCTATACAGTACACCCATTCATGCATATGTATTTCAAAAAGACAGGACGACATGTTCATATTGGAATCTGGGTTCTCAAGAGTCCCCACGTTCCAACATCTGTTCCCCAAACCACGAACAAGAAAGAACCACATGCTGGTTAAATGTGCAAGACTGGCTTCCTGCAACACCGGCATTTGCAGATCTACATCATCCAGCACACATCGTAAGAACAGGCATGATACGTGCCATCAATGCCGTGTAATTATAAAACAATCCGCATTCTCAGTGCGTCACGGGTGCATCAATAATGCATCAGAATTCCCATTCCCTATCAAAGCCGTGTATAGCCGTGTATAGCCGTGTATAATCCTACTGCATCAATGCTGTGAAAAAAAAAACGCATTTTGAATGCATCAATAATGCATCAGAATTTCAAAAGCCTCATTCCAACTCCTTGCAAAACAGTATCGCCCCAATATCACCCCACTCAATTCATTCAACCACAATAACAGAACCCCAGTCAATAAGTAGGCTCAACCCTGCATTGACCAATAACCATCTATTAACTGTGCAAAATGGTGATAATTTAATTTTCCTAGGTTGACATTAAGCAATCACAACCGCACCATCATCCCACGTCATCCGATTTATTTACACGCCGCAGTTTTAAAATGACATCACATCATAGAGTTATATACCCATGATAGCCTCATGTTTGATCCTTCATTGCCATTACATCCATCATTTTCCATAGAACTCTATCTGCACAAAATGAACATGACAGTTACAATTTATAAGCCAATATAAACTTACTATGTGTTTCTTGCTTACCCTGCTGTAATCAAAAATGACGTGATGGAAAATCAATAATTTAACTTTAACCGTTATTTTCCAACCACGTTTGATAAACACATAGTAATCCTATAGCCTATATGTAAAGATTGCGATTAAAGAACTATGTCCAACCAAAAGCCAATAATTAAAAGCCTCCAAGACGATGTAGTCCCAAAGTCCAATTGAATGGGGGATAGTCCTAGTCCTGTCCCGTTTTTCTTGCGTTACTTTTCTTCATTGTAATTCATCCAACTATAGATCATGTCCCAGCTATAAACATCCATTTACTTTGCAGATTTCCCTATATGTCCCCGTATGTTGCTATGATTTCCGCTAAAGGCTTTGAACCAACATCAACCAAGAAAAAAACATCATGAAACAAACCTATCAAAAATCACCACAGCCACAGCCCAGCCACACTGCGCCAGCGCCTCAAACGCCTCTGGCGTCGCTTCTGCCGCTGCGGACGCGGCGAAAGCCTCAGCGGCCTCGACGAAGCGGCCCTGCTCCGCCAGCTGGGTGCCATGGCGCAGCATGGCCGGGGCAAAGGGTTGGGAACAGACCGGGAAAGCCGTGGGTTTGAGGTGCAGAAAAGGTAAAAATCCTAGGGAACTCACAAAGGAATTCCATGGGTTTGAGGTACTACCTACACTATTTACCTACTAGTCCCATAATAATGTGGAAATCCTAAAGATATCTAAAGATTGCGTCCGATGATGCCGCTATTTTACCTGCCAGTTGCTCCAGTCATCCCTTTTAATGGTGATGATGAATTGCTGACCAATCTTTGTCTGCTTCAAACAGCATGGATTTACCATCTGGAAATAACAAGTTCCAAAACGTCGTAATTCAACCCAATCCGGGATGGTAGGATATGGTAGACATCTGCAGTTCGACCACAGGTTTGTGGTGGAAAACCATGAAATATAATGAAAAAGATCGAGAACTTTGATGAATGAAGGGGATGTCACGGATATGATGATATGATGTCCGGCAAGGCCGCAAAGCACCAAGGCTCGGAAGAGCCTTGAACATGGTTTCAAGCTCTTGAGTCATCTGGGGTTGCTTTGGCCCACTGACTTCGCCGTCAAAACATTGGAAATCCCCACGTTCAATAAGACAATAATCTGAAAAACATGTCTACAAAGGGGGCGGCTATGGGTACTTCCATTGCTACAATTCAGTTGCAATCTTTGTTGTACATCCTGCGGTACCCGGAGGAAAACAGCTGCAAGAGGGCACCTATTTTGCACCTAAATCCTCTGGTTTATCACCATGTTCACACATAAGATGGCAGTATATTGAGTTACCCACTTTGAGACAAAGCCTCCTGTAACAATCCGCATTCTTGGTTGCATATCCCGTTTTATATTTGCATTACATCTCCCCATACTGTTGTTTGTTTTTCCCATTTCAACTATTCAGTGGTTAAACATCCAGAAATTCCAATGATCGAATAAATTATTTTGCTTTAATTGTTCATGGTGTTCCACCGAATAGACCATGAAATCAATATCATCAAGTATCATCGGCACACCTTTAAGTTTGGCTAACCATTCAAATCCATCAGCTATCAGGAAATGATAGGGGTAACCATTCAAATCCTATGAGGAATTCATATTAAATCACCATGTCCCAAACCAGCAATCCCAACTGATGCTACCCTCTGGTAAACTAACGTAGCTATGGAAAATCCACATTTGTCATAGGTCAATCAACTATTTATATGGTCATTTTTAATAGCAAACTGCTAAATTACCAGAGGGTAACATGTGTTATAGGATATGAATGAGATATGAATAGCACCCCATGGGATTTATAAACCAACTATTGGATGAAGCATACGTACCATGCAATGGGATGAAATGTAACAGCTATTATTTATACCATAAACCAACGAAAGGATGAAATGGGATGATGTACCCTGTGGTTATTTAACGTAGCCATGGGAAATCACCATTTTTAATCGGTAAATCAACATAAATAATCTATAGATGGGCCATTTTCCATAGCTATGCTAAATAACCAGAGGGTAAACCCATATCATTCCATTATTCACCATTGTTAACCCAATGTTAAACCATTAAATCACCATTAAATTACTAGGGGCTACCGCCCACGCTGCAACCGGACGACGGCATCCCCATCGACCGGCGCCAAGGCACGGCGCTGCGCGGACGTCATCCAGACTGGCAGCGGCTGCGACCATCAGCGGCGTGCGTCCTGCGTTAAAAAACGGGAAACTTATTGGGAACATGTCGAAGAAATAACAGAAAAATAGATGGGAAAGTGAAAAATGCCAACTATCTATGGATCACTGAGTTTTCTTGGGACACTTTTAGCTGAAAACCAAGGTTTTTCCAACAAAAAGTTGGGGGCTCCGCTATTTTTCCTTTAAACTTTAAACCAATCCATTCACAAATGGCACTCATTTGGTTCAATCGATATTTCCAATGACTATCCAATCTGAATCAATTGCGCCATTATACTGGCTGGTTGATAAGAATTCCCATAATTGATTATGATAATCCCCAACAACCAACAAACCAAATTGTATAAGCCCTGTGTTGGCCAATCAACAACGATATGTTCAATTGCAAAATTCATACGCAATGAACAAAACATGAACATTTCCACTGGGACCGTAAGTTATCAATAGGTATAAAGTTATATACATAGTTTTATTGTACAAAATGGCAAAGTGAGTATAAAACCTAGGTTTGCAATGGTAAACCTAGATATGAAACTTGTTGAGAATTATTTCACAAGGAAAGCATACCAAACGATTGAATGTAGACAAGGTCCTAGGTCCTTTCAATCAGCACCAAAAAAATATGCTGGTGATCTGGGATTGTCATCTTAGACTCTGCTCACCAGATGGGGCCAGAACTCTGTCTGCCATCACACTAAAATGATATCTTCAAACTATCTCGGCATGGTACCTTAAAGAGCCCCCCCAAAAAAAAATCCACCCTCTGGTAAACAAACAGATGGCTATTGAAAATGGCCATAGAAATAGTTGATTTACCCATTAACAGTGGTGATTTTCCATAACTATTTTTTGTAAATTATAAAAATTCAACTGAAATAAGGCTATCTTGGGGATGTTTCCCCTTACTAACCATGATTATAGTGAGGTCGCAGCGACGTCGTTATAATTTACCCAGATAGCTATGTTAGTTCCCAGCGCCATCTCCAGGCAACTGGTAACGAACCCCTTTTGTTTGTTTCTTTTAAGGGTTTGGGGTGGGGGATGTTAACGTCCTTGTCAACTTGCTCACGTCATGTATGCTTCGTGAACTTCGTGGTTTGGGTGGGGGGGTGTTAACGTCCCTGTCAATTTGTTCACGTCATGTATGCTTCGTGAACTTCGGGGTTGGCTGGGTTATATTTATATATATATATAATGTATACATATAAAAGTACATTATCATTTGGATACATACATATGTATATAAACATATGTAAAGACAAACATTTATTTTCATAATTATATACGTATACATGTACATATCTTCTTCTACATAGGTATACACATAATATAAATATATATATATATATATAAAATATTAACTTACGTAAATATACATATATATATATACATATATGTCTTTATTTACACATATATACATATATATTGATCATATGTGTATATACGTATATATGTATTAACATTCAAATCATGTGTATATATATATATATGTATATATATATGTTTAAATATGTGAAATTAACTTGTCGGGGAATGTTAGGGTCTTTACCTTTCTTTTCAACAACTAATATTTTCAATGTCTTCAGAATGTTGCGCTTGCAACGCTAGCTGATGCAAAAAGGTGCAATTTTAGCACCAGTTTGCAGACGGCACGACCTGTTAGTTTACCAGAGGGTACATCATCCTCTTTCCATGCCATGCCCAGTGGCCCAAGCCAGCCTTTCTTGTCTTTGAGACCTGGATGCGCCTGGCCAGTGGCGCCACGGGCCAAATGGTGGGGCAGCAAGGGATTTTCAAAGAGTACGTTCCCATGATATCCCAATGATTCTCCCAATAATAAGGCTCCTATAAACCCTACTCATATCCCTATAAATCCATATATTTATAAATTTGTAAATATATATATATATATATCCCTAT